ACTGGCGTGGGGGTGGTGTTTGCCAGCAAGTGCCTGGTGGCCAGTTGAACCCCCATGTAACCCGGTCGGGCCCAGCCCGAAATGGCTACGTGGTACCGTCCTGTGGGCCTAACATTCGTAGGATGAAGGGTGATGGGCGAGTGCGATGCCAGTATGGCAGGGAGAGAGATGGTGTCGGATGGACTGGACCATGGCAATCTTTTATTTTGAACCACAGGAAATACAACATGCCAACGAGTCCATAAGCCGTCGCGTGACATCTACATCTGCACACAATCGCCTGCAGCAGACTTGGAGCAAATGCTGTTTACTTTGCTCCCCCGTACCCTTCCTCTCTGTCAACTTTTTTATTTTCGCGTGATGAGTTCCTATAGGTTCGTATATATGTATGTACATTGAACATATTTCGCACCGCACATAGTCAATCGTGCTAATCGCAGATGCAGGGAAAGGACAACAAACCAAATACAAAAAACAGTTCTAAAAAATGAGTTTGTCAATCTATATCATTTAAAAGTGCAAAGCTCCAGTGGATTCCTAATATCGGAAGAGCGTTCCAGACGGCCGTAGAAGTGCATCGGAAAGCGCGCGATGCGGTGACGATCTTTGTTCGATGGCCAGCCAAAAGTGTAATGTATAGTGTAGAGTTAGGTATAATGTAGTGTAGTGTATATAGCATCAGAAAGTGCGCGATACGGCGATGACCAGCCAAAAGTCGCCGCTGATGCTGCGAGAATGATGACCAGAGTTCGAGTGATGGTTTTTGCTCATCGTCAATCTCTTATTTTCACTGCTCAAACCATAAAATATGCTTACAGCATCCGGATAAATATAATAGTCGATCAATCTACACGAAGGAAACTAAATGCCGATTGTGATACTGATTATAGCATCTGGATTATAGGCGTGCATGTGTGCGTGTTTTTCAGTCTTCCAAAGTCACGGCGTCTCGGATGGCCGATCTCACACCAGACCAAGCGTCACAGATGAATTTCAAATAACAAAAAATTTACTTCAGGGTCAGAAAAAAAGAATCCATCAATGCACTTTTGACTGAGACTCTCCGTCGGAAAATGTATACAGATCTAGGGAGCTGATATAGCGAGTTCACGCATCACTGCCCCGTGGGTACGTGCCAAGTTACAACAACTCACGAAGTTTAAGGAAGGTGACACGAAGTGAAAGTATTCGGCTTGTTATGGTGTAACGCAATGTATTTGAGTAGAGCAGTCGTCCTTAACCATTACTGCAGCCTTGCACCCCTTTGGTTCTCAATCATTAAAAAAATGTATAATGTTAATAAACACATAGAGGGTTTAATGAAACAAAGTAAGTTGTTACTTACGTGACCGTACTTAATTTGTATTTTCGATTATTTACCTTTTTAAAAAATCTAGCCATATCTTGCACCCCCAGGTGGTGCGTGCACCCCAGGTTAAGAACCACTGGAGGAGAGCGTTCACTGCCATATATATAAAGAGTATGCGTCGTGGGGGTTATTTCACTATTCTTTATTACCTTGAAAAGTGTGGATTAGTGAAAGCGGGGAGCATAGAAGTACATTAAAATACAGAACAGTGGATGTTGCTGTACCGTACTCTAATGACAGTGTATGCCCACAACACAACGATGTATAATTAATGTATGCCCACTTAAGAGCAATGTTCTTAATCCTAAGGCCCCCATGGGCCACTGTCAGCCCCCAGGTCTTTAGTGCGGCCCCCCGGCAATACACATCATCATCGTGCTGCTGTCAAACCCAACCCAATGGTTTCAAATGCGTGGTGGCTTCTAACAACACACTAAAGTCGTCTTAACGGCGAAAGTGGCAACTCAGCTCCAAAGTCCCCCCCCCCCTCCTGAAAATGAGTGAAGAATACTAACTAAAGAGATTCCAAAACCTCGAATCAGCTCTTTCCTCATTTTGTGTGTTTGAGAGACAATTCACGTAGCGGCCAGTTGAGTAAAACATAGCCGTATTCTTGTCCAGGGAAATTGAGTTTTCAGGTCTATACGGTGTACAGCCGTTTCAATATGGGCAAACAAAATTACATTGTCTATTTGTTTGTGTTTCTTCCTTGTGGTGGGACTTTGTAGATTTACAAGGGGCACGGGGTGACAAATTAGGTCTGAATTGGTCTGTAATAAGGTAGGGCACTGATAAGGGGTTGACAGGTATAATAAAATGTGCCCGACTTCCGTGACCTTCTGTAATCCTCCCCCCGCTTTTTTTTATTTCCCGCTGGTGTTTTAAAATAACAATTATAATAACCATGGCATTTATAACGCGCCAGATTTTTGCAGACAAGTCAACAAGTCAGAGGCGCGGAGCCAAGCTCAGGGCCGCTCGAAAGCCCTGACGAAAAAACAGACAGAGGCCCTTAGATGTTAAATGTCAGAGTGCATTCGATGTTGCGGATGTGCAAAGGTATATAGACAATCTTGATTTGAAGCTTTCGTGACTGCAGGAATCCATACTCTTTGGGTCTTTCAGGAAAGTCACGTAGGTATAACAAATAATAGATCACGATGTTTCGATCGCAACACCAGCAATCGTCTTCAGGTGAAAAAATATAGACAGTTCCACACCGAGGGGATGACAGCAGCGAACCGACGTGAGGCTGTAACAGCATAGTGTAGTGTATAGTGCAGTGTATAGTAGTGTCTAGTGTAGTGTATAGTAGTATAGTGTATTGTAGTTTATAGTAGTGTGGTGTATTGTTGTGTTTAGTGTAGTGTATAATTATACACGATTATAATTCAATATAATAAACTGTGCAGTGGGGTGTAAAGTAGTGTAGTGTATTGTGACGTGAGGCTGTAACAGTTCGAGACCTCGGTGTCCGAAGCAGATGTTGAGTGACGCTGCGTAGTGTTCTACCGTGAGCTTAGTTGCAAGGCGAGAGTTAGTGAGGCGAGGTATGAAAACCTGCCGAAAACTGGATCCACAAGCCAACGGCGTGCCCTCACTCTCTCCCCCCACACCTGCATGCAATTGCCGTGAGCAGGTTTAGAGCAGACGATGTTGTTTCAACGGACTCATCTTCAACCCTCTTTGCTCCTATAATAACATCTACACGTACGTTTGTCACGACCGTCCACAGGCTCGTCATTAATCTCAATCCCTCGAAACGAGACAGATGCCCCGTATAGCCTTCACTTACTTTTGAGACAAGTGCTGTTAGTGAGCAGCAGCACCTACAAAGGCTGGAACGGCACGCGAAGGGGTGGATGGCCAGCACCACGCCCGGCCGCCTTTGTCCGCTAGTGGGGATGTTTACACATTTGAGGCTCAGTCGACCTAGGGGAGGCCCAGGACCGGTTCAGATAATCGTCACCGATCTTGGCCGTGAGCGGGAAACGATCTCGGGTCGCTGGGTTTCTAGCACAGTGCGCTAGCCACTGCGCCGCCACTCCTCACTCGTTACGAGACAAATCAAAGACAGATCAGGACAGTATATAATACGTTAATTCACACAAGGCGGCCTACATGCAGGTGGTGCCACTGGTTAAAATAATTAAATTAAGGTCATGTGTATGCATTTACGGGGTAAGAAAAATAATCCGTTAGCCCAGTGCTCACAGGAGACACGTCCGTCCACTAATGTTTACAGATCCTGGCTGTCGATAAAACGGAGCTCAGGTTTCATTCCATCACTACTAAGCAACGGCAACTCGCACAGGTTAAGGAAGGGTTTATCCAGTGACAGTTTTAATATGTTCATACTGAATGGGGCTTTGGGTGGGTATAGGCATTACTTTAATGCGATTATTTTCTTTCGTAATCTGGCTTCTTAGCAAAACACTCCAAAGACGGAATGCCCAAATACGCAAAACATGACCTTCCTGAAAAAAACTATCGAGGTTACTTTCTAAATTAATTAACATCAGTATAATTGTTCAAGTGGGAATCTACTAATCACAGCAGTGACATGCTCAATCGACTATGAAAAGCCGGAGGTAAAGTCCATTTGCCTAATTTCGCTAAAATTACCAAAATGATTACTTATCCATACCAAGTTTCCACACACACAATTCTACAAATTATCTGCAAACAGCCACACAGTCAATACATATATATATTTTGTGGTCAAATTGACCTCATGCCCCTTATTGGTTTAGAACTTGGGGTTTATAGGTGTACATCACCATCAGTACTCTCAGGAGGTCGGCAGGCCTACAACCCTCGAAGATAAATCCCACACGTACGATTTTAGGAGACTAGGATATAAATCAATCCTTTACCCGAGTTGAATCCCATTTCCCGCCTAAATCTGCTGCAATGCATTTTTTTCTTCCAATTTAAAAATCTCATTTACAATGACTTAATTTATTGAATAGCACAATGCAGTACATCTTGTACGGATAGAGCAATCACAGCCAGTGAATGCTAATAAAGGTTGCTGTACGGCAGTCATTCTGCATAACTGGATCGTGTTACAATATGGAAACGCATTACTTACACAAAACACTAATCTGTGCATACATCGCTCCCACATTCCTATTTCCACACACACCAACATTTTTAATTAACGTACCTACAGCGTGACTCTAAACCACGTGGCCAGGCCATTAAGTTCGCACGTGCATGGACTTCATAGATGACTAGGCTAGAGGCCATTAGAGCAACTCGTATGTTACACTCACTTCAAGTTCACCGCGTGAGTACTGCACATAGGAGCGCTAACTACACGGCAACAAAGCACCTACAGACGATGCTTGCTTGAGCGCTCACGAGAGTGGGATGTGCATGGACGCAAGAGACAACCATATTTTCTCTCGTCTCCACCATTTTGTCTGGCTCGGGTCACGTGACCCGACTACGTCCTGCCCACGTGACCGGGGTCAGCACCTCTGTGGCCTGGCAGTTCTTCACGTTAGGCCCGCCAGGAACCACGCGGGCACCAGCAAAGCCGACCTGAATTGAACTATGAACGCGAATTTTTTTTTTTTACAATTTTTATTAATTTTTAAAACGTAGGCACATCAAGTCCTCGCACACGTCAAGTTTAACACATACAACAAGATTAACATCCAAACATGTATGTCACTTAACACTACCTTTTTAATTAACTCTATGGATTACACTTAACTATTTTAAGATCTAACTTTGGGTAATGCGTTCTCTGTCACCACAATATTAACAGTTACAACAGCAATCACTTAAACATACAGCTATTCAACAATTACACTTTGCCTCGTACAATTTAACTACACCTTACATCTGAGTATTATTTAACCTGGAAGCATTACAACAGCGACAACATTTTTGCTTTGACATAGGACCTCCCTTGCCAGTATCAATATATAAGAAACGGTTTGACCCTTTCTGGCAATAAAAGAGGTGTTAAGATGTTAAACCACCAAACTGAAACCTTTTGCAAGGAATCATGTCTGCTTTCACCAGATATCGTGCTAATCGGAGGTGCGGGGGGAAGGACGACAAACTAAACACCGGCTGAGGTGTCCGACCGGGCACTGTGTCCGAAGATCCAAAGTCTCCTGGCTCTATCCGTGTTGGAACATCGATGGGCGCACCGCGTGTGCGAAGGTGGAACCTCCGCGCTGGTGACGTCCGTCGCTCGCTGATATCCATCTGCCGGCTCGGTGACGCTGTCGTTGACCGAGTCTCTGAGCCACACAGTAGTAGTAGGGGAAGGATGTACACGCTGCAGAGGTGGATATATGTTGCTGTTGGAGTGCTGGAGCACCAGAGGTATCTGTTGAGCTGTCTCGAAGGCCAACATGCCAAAAGACTAATTACGCTATTTGCATGTGCAGAATGAAGAGCTAGCGCGCTGCTCTATAAATCTTCCCAACTAAGATATATTCCCGGTCGTTATTATCTGAACTAATCCTGAGCCTCGGCCCATTCACCATGGAGAAGTGCGGTCAAACGACCACGTATAACAACATAATGGGAAGGCCGTCTTCCAGAAATGGAAAAACAAAGGGCTGTGCACCCACATACACAAGGTGGATACATTTTCTTAATTAACCAGAATGCTTAACGTTAGTACTTATTAGGCGTTATCAAAGAAAATCTGCACTGAACGAGCCCACTTTCACTATGCTCAGTTACCTAAGTTGCTGTTTTGAAATTTATCAATCAAATCACTGACGCTGGGATATTTTGTGACCGGCTTGCTGTTTCGAAATGTATCAATCAAATCACTGACGCTGGAATATTTTGTGACCGGCTTGCTGTTTTGAAATTTAGCACTCAAATCACTGATGCTGGAATATTTTGTGACCGGCTTGCTGTTTTGAAATTTAGCACTAAAATCACTGACGCTGGAATCTTTTGTGACCGGCTTGTTTGTGCCTTCGCCCGTGCCTTCGTCCGTCACCGTCATGTACACAACGGACTCGTCAGATGCAGACATCGCTGCCTTCACTTGAACCTGCAGCATTCTGCTTTTCACAATCAAACAATTGGAGCCCGCATACGACCATGCGAACCTTCCATCTTTGCTCACCTCTTTCCTGCTCATTTCTTGTAGCTTCCGCAGGTCGATGTCACAAATGCCAGGGTTGTTCTCAATGGAGAGGGAGAACAATTTGCGGTTGTACAAGTACGGGTTTTTGAAGAGCAGTACAAAGTATTCATCGGTCCCCTGGAAGCGAAGGCCCAGGATGCCATGGCAGCCTTTGATGTTCGCCGTCATCTTTCGGAATCCGTACAGTGCATGCTTCTTTGGCTTTATGGATTCGTCAGATTTAAACTGGCAGTATCCTGACTTGATGAAGACCCTGAGCAAAGTCGGAAGAGGCGAGGTGATTAGATACAGCAAGGCATAGTTTTAAACCACCACTTTTAATAGTTGTGGCAATATTTGGATTACCAAATCTCACCCACTGTAAAAAATTAAGTGCACTTGAAACAAAAGTAAAACAAAAAAAACAACACCGAGGGATGAATATGTAAACAATGAACCTGAAAACAAAAGAATCCAAACCGCAAAGTCTAAATACGAAATCTGGCCAGCCCCTGGAATTGCACTACCTAGGATGCCACCACAATGAACCCCAAATAACGCAACCCAGATCGAGGTACGGGCATACCACTTACAGCGTTGTCTCTCACAGCACTCTTTCCTGGCGGTGCTCCTTTTGTCCTGGAGGAAAAATTCCCGTGCGGTTCAAAATCCCTACGCGAAAACAGCAGTGTGCAACGCTGCCAAGTTTCTCTTGAGGCCAGAGCGTGCCCTACCAATGAGAGCCGCGAATGCTCAATGGCACCGAGCCAATCGGTGCCCGCTTCTGCGCGCCCACCTTGAACTCTTCCGGCGTAACGTGTGTTTGATTATTTTTTATTAGATTGTTTAATCGATTTATCTTGTGTCCTGTATCATAGTTAAGGCTTTCACCTATACACCCAAACGAAGCCCTCATATGTATACCTCATAAATTGAAACAAAAAAATAACCCTGTCGGTAACACAACTCCATTGGAACCGTGTTATAGTGACCTCTTATAGCGCTGTTTCCTACAATGCTGTCGGTAGCGCATCTCCATTGGAACCATGTTATAGTGACCTCCTATAGCGCCGTTTACCAGGAACGCATCCTGAGCACTATAAGAGGTATGCTTGTAAACATAAAAGGGTACTACAGTACAAAAAAGAAAATACCTTTTTCGTCTGCTATAAAGCAAGAGGGCAAGTACTGTTTAGCTCGGACAGTACATTTCATTAAAGCGTGTTTTTTTTTAAATATTTTATTTCCTCCACATTTAGAAAGAAACGAGTTTAGAACATTTGGCTGCTGCTTTAAATTTCCACGCGATGATGACGACGATGATAATGATAATAATGATAAGCCACCTCGTTCAGCTATTGATTGTGAGACCCAGGTCGCTTCTGAAAAAAAACCGACATAGCTCCAGTGGGCATTGCCTAGTAAAATAAATAAGTTGTTTAATTTACGGTCTCGCAAAGCTGTAATCTATTCAGCACACGGTCCCGTCTGATTCAATCGCTTCATCTCAGCAGTGGACGTCTCACGGGGCATGTTCCTTGGGTCCCCACTCCACCCTGAGCCTCGACCAATGACCATCATCCCTCGAGCGACGTGTCCTGCTCAGGCCCACCTGCTTGACTTACCCGTCTAGTTTTTATATATTAAAAAAAAGCTGTTCTGAAGTTCCGAAGACAATGGCGTAACACAGAGCACCTACCGCGCGTGCAGTGTGCTCAATGTCTGCTGTGTGCGTGTGTGAGCTCCCACTCACCGCGGCTCGCAGAGCGTGAGTCTGGAGGCGTTAGTCACTTTGACAACGACCTTGCACTCCGTCTCGAGCGCACGGAGCATCTCCTTCTCGGGACACGACTGCGCCATCGCTGTCGGAAATGGTTTCCACCCACGCGGCCCTCCGCCCGTGCACGATCCTTCCGAGCCCGTCGCCTTTGCGTGTACACGGGAGGGAGCTGAAGGCGGTTTGCTTCGAGCGACGGCTCGTTGACCGGGTTTTGCGTGTCACGGCGGGGGTGATGTCATCTTCCTCGTACGGTATGCAGGAGGTCGTGGGTTCGATCCCGACCCTGACGATGCCTGCTGCTGTATATTTGGAGTTTGTGTGCCTCTCTCTCATCATCACGGTGGCTAGAAGATGTTAACTACCTCGCCTGGTGCGCAGGAGGTCGGGGGTTCGATCCAGACCCTGCCGATGCCTGCTGTTGTATATTTGGAGTCTGCGTGTCTCTCATCATCATCACGGTGGCTAGGAGATGTTAACTACTTCGCCTGGTATGCAGGAGGTCGTGGGTTCGATCCCGACCTTGATGCCTGCTGCTGCTGTAGTTTTGGAGCTTGCGTGTGGATTTCTTTTCGCCGGGTCCTCCGGTTTTCCCCTCCACATTTTGAAATGCGAGTTTGGATTATTTGTATTATTTTGCTGCTATAAATGTCCACGTGATGATTGATGATGAGCCACTTCATTGAGCTGATATTATTGGACGCATTTATTTAACTCACTTTGTCTTTTGTTGTTGTTGTCGTCGTATCCTCAAATCTTGTAACGCAATTTAATCCACTTCCCAATGTGGTATCGACTGCAAATTTGGTATACTTATGTCATACTGATGACAATACTATATTCTATCATAAAAAACATATATATTTTGAAACAAACTTTTTCATATGTTATGTTTCGGCTTGGGTCTAATTGTCCACGCTCAACTGACGGCTGTAATTGACCACGGTCCATTACGTTATGGCAAGCTTCGTGGCCACTTCCTGGAGTCGTGGAGTGCTGCCATTAGTAGTATGGTACATTTCATGAAAGCGTGTTTTAAAAAAAAAGTCTTTTTAAATATTACTTGTTATTTGTAGCCAGGTCGCTTCTGAAAAGAAGCTGATAGCTCGGTGGGCTTTACCTCGTAAGATATCAGTAGTTTCGATTGACTTGTATAATTTTTTTGAGTGATTTTTTTTTTACCTTTATGCTTTGCACTCCTATCGTGTTTTTGTATTGTGTTTGTTGTTGTAACGTTCTAGCCCGTACCTCTACTGGACATCTGTACAAAATATAGCTTTATAGCTCATCGGATTCCTCCAGTATAAATACAATATTCAAATTCCGTTTTTTATTAATATCTATTTCTTTGCTTGCATGGGTGCAACCCCCCTTTGTTAGTGGGCCTTACCTGGTAAAATGAAAAAATATATAGTTTAATATAAAAAAGTGAATTTCAATGTTGTGTTAGAAACTAAACTATTGTTATTTTACTAGGTAAGGCTCCACTGAGATGCTATGTGGTTCATTTTTCTAAAAGCGACCCTGGCTATCACAAGCGATAGCTCAACAGAATGGCGGCTTACCATCATTATCATCACGTGCACATTTATAGCAGCAGCCAAATACTCTAAACACCATGCTTCGTCATAGATACTCTAAACATACGGTTATATATTTACGCGATCTAACCCAAAAAAAACTGTATTATAGATAGACTATACTATACACTACATTATACACTACACTATACACTACATTATACACTATGCTACATACTACACTATAGACTATGCTGCACACTACACTATAAACTACTATACATTACACACTACACTACTATACACTAAACTACGATACACTACACCACTTACTAAACTTAAACTAATTTCTTTAGGACTGCTCGTTGTTGTTGTTGTGTTTAGTTTGTTGTCCTTGCCCCGCACATCCGATTAGCAAAGTTGGCTACGAACGGTGCGAAAGAAGTTCAACATACAGTACATACATTCAAGTGCCTATGAACAGAGGAAATGCCATTATTCATTTTGTAGCTGTCTCAATAAATGTGAATCTCAAAAGTGAATGATCTCAGATCGAGTATCACCACAAGAATGACTCTTAAAAAGTGGTTGGTTCCTACAACTGTGGTTCGGCGTTGAGCAAACTCACACGTACGGCAGGTTTTAAGATTTTGAGAGAGTTTTAATCAACGAAACCCCCCAAACAATAACCAGAAACCCAACGTATTCGAACGACGTGCCAATAATACGTGAAATAACCATAATCAAAATTGTCGTGCAGCAGGAATGATGTTTCACAGAAGTTATAGAAAAGGTTGGGTTTTGTCCCATTTAGGTTGCACGTACTCTTAAATTAAGAGTCCACAAGCGCATCGCGCGGCGCTTCAGATGCACTTTTGCGTCCGTCTGGAACGCTCTTACGATATTAGGAAGCCACTAGGAGCTGTGCACTTTTAAATCATAATCTAGATTGACAAACTCGTTTCTTTAGAACTGCTTGTTGTTGTTTAGTTTGTTGTCCTTCCCCCGCATCTCCGATGAGTACGGTGGTGCGAAAGAAGTTTAACATGCAAATAGAAATTTTATTTTTAATAAAAAGAGCACATTCACTGGGGTTTTTTTCTTCTCTTATAAAAGCAGAAAATTGTTGTTGGGTTTTTTTTACCCCCTCTCCAAAACACCGTACATTTTACACCTTTGCACATTCCACAGAGACTGACGACTACAGACGAGGTTCGGCTTCGTGTCGTCGGATCGTCTCACGACTCGCGGGCACGTGGCATACTTCGTCCTCGCTCCCTCTCGTCACCTCACACGTGCCTCTGCATGTATATCGACAATTACGAACGCAACATTAACTGCCATTGATATAGCATCCACTAAAATATAATGTCCCGAGTACCCACATATATATTCGCCCATCGTATAATGACGAAGTAGAAATCGTAATATTAAGCATAATCTGTGAGTGGCCATTAATAAGGACTCAAGCGCTTTTGTTAAAGAGATGCTAATCCACAATAGAAAACCTTCAAACACCAATGCTATCGCCCATAAGCGCTACTGTGTTTTAAAATATATTCAACAATGTAACAGACACTCAAACCAAATTAATAATGTAACATTGAAACCACACGAGGCCCAACTAAGGCCCGATTATGTGCGCAGCCAACTTAACCCGAGCTCGGCCATATGCAACTAGGCCTGAACTCAGGCGTGGTCATGCGTACTCTCGACTGGGACCGAAGCCCATCCACAAATGTGTCAATATCAAAACAAAACCCAACAAAGTGTACAATCATCTATGTACGTATGTTGAACTTCTTTCGCACCATATGTAGCCAACTGTGCTAATCGGAGGTACGGGCGGAGGGAAAAAGTAAACTAGGCCCAGGCGAACTATTAGCGGTGTGTGTGATCAAGTAGGCCTGAGGCCTGTCTGCACATTTATTTTGCCAATTTCCGCGCATTTATCTGCGCACATAACACAGCATTAACCTTTAACTCGGGAATTGAAGGAATATATCATGAACCAGGTCACAGACTCGGCACATTGCGCCCTTATTCCCGAACAAAAAAAAATCACGCCCCCGCTGTTATGATTTAAAATTCGTTTACAAACTGTGACATTTAATAATTTGCTATTACAAATAAAACATTGTTTTAAATTTTATCAATTCAAATATGTATGGTAGATAATACAGTAGATTCTTAATTATCCACACATGAGGATGGCCGTGGATAATTTAAAATCCCGGAGAATCCAAAAATATAACGCTTTTCCGCGGTTCTCTATGCCAAAAACCTCTAATGTAGGGAAAATTAAGAACGAATACTAACGATCGACCAAACGATGATGCGCGTGCTCAGCGATACAAATTATTTCCTGCTTCCGCTCAGTAGAAGACTCTGCCCACTAAGTGGATAGCAGCAGAGCCACGCCAATCAACATCAACCAAACTCCGCCCCACTGTTGTAAAAATATGGCAACTACTGTACTGTAGGGGCGATCTCGTGGATTTCGGATTAACCAGAGCAATATACTTGCTCGGTTTAAGCACGCCACTTGTAATTAACATTCCAAGAATAACAATGTTTAACTGACTTTTAGATTATTAATTTGGGCTTAGTGGAAAATCCATGAGTTATTAATTTGTGTCAAGTCTCAGGTAGATGGTTAATCTGCAAATCTGATAAACCGCATGCAGATAATCCAGAGTATACTCTACATGTGAATTATGTTGCGCCTCCCGTTTGGCTCTTAGTTCAAAGTCACATGTACGGTACGCTTGTTCACTATTGTTATGATTTTACCCAGTATTGTAATGCATTTTAATACCATGTTTTCATTGTTTATTTGCTGTATAATTATCGACCTTTTTGGAATGCTCATTTATTACTCTTTTGCTGTATTCGTGAAGCGTGCTATGTACGAAATCAAGATCGATTTAAGGCTTAGATACATAATGGGGATTCTGACCAAAGTTCGGGTACAACCCAAAATTGGCATTAATCTGAAGCTGCATTTGCATCGCCTGAGCAGACTGATCCATAACATTCAGCCACACGATGGACTCGCTGTCATTGAGCATCTTGGCGTTGACAGAGAGCATTACGGAGGGACACTTCACTGATACATCTGATGCCTGCGCCACGGATCTACAGAACGTGGTGCCTTCGTTTTTAAGGTTTCGGTTCATCATCTCCTCGTAGAGCTGGGCCGGCGTGTTCTGAAGCATCCAGTCTTGCACGGAGACCGCGAGCTCCCGTTTGTAGATGGCCGAGTTCGGGTTGTTGAACATGAGGCACAGGCACTTGTCGGAATCCTTGATGCGGTAGATGAGGACTCCAGTGCAGCCGTACAAGCCGACCCTTCGCTTGCGAAAGCCGCACGCCCGCTTCTCGTTCGGTAAAATCTCGGTGGGAAGGCTGTACTCCACCGCGCCACTTTCCATGTACCATCTGTGGAGAATTGTGGTTCGTTCGTTCAACCACTCAACCACCCACTCATTCATTGACCTTCATACACATTCTCCTAACCACTCAATCACTCACCCATTTACTGACCCATACACTCACACTCTCGGAATCACCCACTACTCACCCATCCACTCAATCACCCACTCACTCATCACTCACCCACCCACTCATAACCTCTCACAACCACCCACCTACCCTCTCACAACCACCCACCTACCCACTCAACCACCATTTTCCCAACCATTAACTCGCCCATCTCTCTCCTTCGGCAATGTCTAAAGGCATTTAAGGTGTTTCTTGAGACAAGATGCTTAAATTAACTTTGGACTCGGCATGGCACTGAACTCTGAACACAAGAGTCTCGTTGACTTCAAAGGAAAGTGCTGAGTTATTGAGCACCTATTAAGGTAGTAAAGTACACGTGTTAGGACGAGTGGTGGTGTCAGCAATGACGGTCACTTTATCGCGTGCTTTCAGATGCTCCTTTTGTGGCCGTCTGGAATGCTCTTCCGATATTAGGAAGGCACTGGAGCTATACATTTTCAAATCATCCAGTTTGAAAACGAATTTCTTTAGAACTGATTTTAGTGTTTAGTTTGTTGTCCTTCCCCTACACCTCTAATTAGCACGGTTGGCTACGTACAGTGCGAAATAAATTCAACGTACGTCATCCAATATGATCGTAACACCCTTAATTATTTTTACTACAATTTATGTCACCGGGGCAAACCCTTGTGATTCACATCTCATTTACAAGCTAGAGTAAACTTTTTATTTTACCATGTAAGGCCTGCTGAGATATACAGATCTTTTTCAGAAGAAACCTGGCTGTCACTATTGATACATCGACGAAGTGGCTTATCACGTGAAAATGTATAGTAGGTCGTTAATGTAGACATGATTCCTTGCAAAATTTTTCAGTTTGGTGTTTTAACATCTTAACACAGCTGTTTTATTGCCAGAAAGGGTCAAACCTATTCTTATATTTTATACTGGCAAAGGAGGTCCCATGATGATTAAGGTGCATTATCTAGATAATTCCTTGAACAAATCAACCAACATGAAATCGACCTTCTTGGATCTCAGAAGCCAAGCAGGCTTGGGCCCTAATACGTATGTGAGCTTCTTTGCCAGTATCAAAATTATGAAACAATAAGAATAGGTTTTACCTTTTCTAGCAATAAAATCGGTGTTAAGATGTTCAAACACCAAATATACCTTTCGCAACTGTTCTGCAGTTGCGGGACTTTTGCCAGAGCCCCTCCTCCCCCACCGTCTGCTAGGATATTATCTAGGGGGGTTCCTAACGGAGCCTGATAGGCTGTCCTCTATCAGGCTCTGCTGTTTTTTCCTGGATTTTTCTGTTGCTCGTAGTCACTTTAAGATGTTTGTTGGTCATGTTTTTGTTTGTTGCGGTTGCACCCGAGTCAAGAGCCGCATGGCTCACAGGGCTATACCTAATACATAAAACTGAAACTGAAACATGCACCCATTGCTAAGGTTCCACCACGTGGAAGAGGGGGTGCAGGTGGGGGACTTGAACCCTTTCCCATTTCCGATGACGTACTTGCACATCATCAGTTTTTTCTTCTGATTCCGTTCCGAAGGACGTCGTCTGGGGTGTATTTATCAAGAGGGTTCCTACCGGGGCCACCACACCGTACTGCGCCCCTCTTAGGCTGTCCCCTTACACGCACTCCCATAGTATTTTGTCGATATCTCACACCGCCTCCCCCCCACCCCAATCTGTTATTCGTACCCAACACGCAACCACTCCCCCTCGTACAGCCGCACTCACACACTCACATGGGCGCGTGCAGCGTGCGGCTGGAGTAGTTGGAGATCTCCACGGCCACCTTGCAGGTCGTGGGGGTCCCGGCGATCACGGCCTCCACGTTCACCCCCCTGTACTCCAGCGGCGGATTGGTCCCCGTTCCTGCCATCCGTCTGGGTTCGTCTTCTCGGGAGTGACGTCTGTTACGAGATGAACTCTGCTCACATACGGTTGGACGAGGGGAGGAGGGCTATCGGAGAACTTGAGGATTGACAATGAAATAATGACGGAAGCTGTAAAGGGGCCGTCCATAAATGACGTCACGAGCTTGGGAGGGGGGGTTCAGACATTTGTGACGATGTGTGACGAGGGGGGCGGTTTGAGAAATGTGACGTCACATCAAAATGCGCAACTTTAAATAAATATAAAATTGTTATAACAACACTAATTGTTATAACAACACTCCTACAACATCAGAGTGCAGCGCCACATTAAATACGCACTACAATGACAATAGTTTAAAGCGCGGGGGGGGCAGAGCTTTGTGACGTCATATTTGAGGGGGGGTCTGACTTTTTGTGACGCCGTGTGACGAGGGGGGGGGGGGGGTCAAAAATCGTCCCAAATCGCGTGACGTCATTTATGGACGGCCCCAAAGTGCGCAAAGATAAGGTGCACACGAACTCCGGTTGTCATCCTCACAGCAGCAGCAGCAGGGCCGGCTTTTGGCTGGCCGTCGAACAGAGATGGTTACCGCATCGCTCGTTTTCAGATGCTAAATACACTACACTATACACGACACTATACACTACACTAAACACTACACTATACACTACACTATACACTACACTATATATTACACTATACGCTACACTATACACTACACTATATACTACACTATACATTACACTATACACTACATGCTCTTTGGTTCTTTCGGTAAAGTCACGGAGGTATACCTACGTGACTTTACCGAAATAACCAAAGAGTATGGATTCCTGCAGTCACGAAAGCTTCATATCACTATACACGACAATATAGACTACACTATACACTACAGTATACGCTACCCTATACACTACTATAGACCACACCATACACTACATTACACACTACTATATGATACATTATACACTACACTATACCCTACACTTTCCACGACACTATACACAACACTATACACTACACTATATACTACACTACACTAAACACTACTATACACTACACTATATACTACACTATACATTACACTATACACTACAATATACACGACAGTATACACTCCCTTATAGACCACACCATACACTACATTATACACTACACTACACACTAACACATTCCTGTGGAGGGAGCTGGTAGGAACGTTGGGTTGCTCGGTCAATGGCCAGGGTCAACGGCGGCGTGGTGTATTCCGCAAATATGCCCGACTGTGAGGGCGGGCACAAGCCGGCGTGAGTAGGTTAAACGTTGAGTTTTATAAGGGCACCACGGGGTGACCAGCCCTTCCCCACCCAGCCCCACCCTCCCCACCCTCCCCACCCAGCCCCTCCCCACCCTCCCCACCCAGCCCCTCCCCACCCTCCCCACCAAGCCCCTCCCCTCCCCACCCAGCCAGGGTCAATGGCGGCGTGGTGTATTCCGCAAATATGCCCGACTGTGAGGGCGGGCACAAGCCGGCGTGAGTAGGTTAAACGTTGAGTTTTATAAGGTCACCACGGGGTGACCAGCCCCTCCCCACCCAGCCACACCCCTCCCCTCCCCACCCAGCCCCTCCCTCCCCACCCAGCCCCTCCCTGCACGACGGACCGACACAATAATCCCCTGTGGGTTGGTGTAATCAGGAGGTTCCTACCAGTACTATACAATACACTATACACTGCACTATACACTCCGCTATACACTACTATACACTACACTTTTGGCTAGCCATCGAACAAAGACGGTCACGACATCACGCGGATCTTTCAGATGCCCTTCTGCGGCCGTCTGGAACGCTCTTCCTTCCGATATTACGAAGCAACTGGAGCTATGCACTCTCAAATCACCTCGATTGACAAACTCATTTTTATAGAACCGATTTTTGTATAAAGTTTGTTGTCCTTCCGGCGCACCTCCGATTAGCGCGGTCGGCTAAGCACGGTGCATAAAGAAGAAATTCAACATCCATACATGCAATCACTAAGAGGATCTTACGGATAAGAGGCTAAAGACGCGATTGATATCGACTGTTCAGTCAAGCAGGTGGGCTTGAGCAGGACACGTCGCTTGAGGAATGATGGTCGGTGGATAGAGACTCAGGGTGGAGTGAGGACCCAATGAACATGCCCCGTGAGACGTCCACTCCTGAGATGAAGCGAATGAATCAGACGGGGCCGTGTGCTAAATAGATTACAGCTTTGCGAGATCGTAAATTAAACATTGTATTAATTTAACGTAAGACCCACCCAGCTGCTATATAGCTCTTTGCACGTTTGCGCATTAAGAGCATGTGCTGACGTTTAAGCTGCCTACCATCACCCCATTGTTGCTCCAGAGTTCTTACGTTCCACGTTGCTCTGTTTGGAATGTTTTTGAAGCTTTACAACTGCTTCTTGTTGTTGTGTTTAGTTTGTTGTCCTTCCCCATGCACCTCCGATTAGCTGCAGTTGGCTACGAACGGTGCGAAAGAAGTTCAACATATATACACACACTATACACTCCAATGCACACTACACTATATACCACACTATACACTACACTGCACACTACACTACAATACACACTACTCTATACACTACAATACACACTACACTCTACACTACACTTTACACTACAATACACACTACGCTACTATACACGCACACATCTCACCTCGTCGAGCCGTGAAGGAGCGAGATGGACAATGACGCTCGCCCCCGACCTTGCGCTGGGCCCTTGCTCGCTCTGCGGGGTCACACTAACGGAGAGGGCGACCGCTCGACAAACGCTGAGCCCCCCCCCCTCCTACTCCCCCCCTCCACCCCCTCCTCCTACTCCCTCTCTTCCTCCACCCCCTCCTCCTCTACTCCTCCTCCACCCCCTCCTCCTCCACCCCCTCCTCCTCTACTCCCTCCCCCTCCTCCCCCCCTCTTCCTCCTCCCTCCTTCACCCCTCCTCCCCCTGCTCCCCCTCCCCTCCTCCACCCCTCCTCATCCCTCCTCATCTACCCCTTCATCCCCCTCCTCCCCCCTCCTCTCCCACCTCCCCCCTCCTCTTCCACTCCTCCTCCCTCCACCCCCTCCTTCCACCTCCTCCTCCACCACATCCTCCTCCTTCCACCTCCTCCTCCACCCCCTCCTCGCCTCCAGCCCACGCACTCGCTGGCCCCGAGGTTGACCGACGGGGAGAGTGGCCACTCGCCTTGTGCGAGGGAGTGTTTTTGTGAGTACTCCACTGCGTATGGGGGGCCACTATGGGGAGCGGTGGCGCAACGGTTAGGGGCCGTCCATAAATGACGTCACGCACCTAGGGGGGGGGGGGGGAGCCACATTTGTGACGATGTGTGACGAGGGGGGGGGTTGTGAAATGTGACGCCACATCAAAATGCGCAACTTTAAATAAATATAGACAAAACGTTCTACGTAATTAAATTGACTTTTTAATAAATGTTTTCTCCTACAACATCAGAGTGGAGCGCCATATTAAATAGGCACTACAATGACAGAGCTTTGTGACGTCATATTTGAGGGGGGGGTCTGACTTATTGTGACGCCGTGTGACGTGGGGGGGGGGGGGTCAAATTCGTCCAAAATCGCGTGACGTCATTTATGGACGGTCCCTTATGAAATATACGTCATTGTTCTTTGTTTTAGTGATAAGGGAATAAATACCCAAGTCGCTTGCTCTAAAGTAAAGTAACCTGAGTGTATATTGAGTTTGTTCCCTTCCTAGCCGAGCTGTCTCAACACTTAGTAAATTATAAAATAATTAAAACATTTCTCTGTACCAATGCATTTACTTTGCATTATTGTATCGACACAGAGTCTATAACTCGAGAGCCTCTCAAATGCAGTACACCAAGAAGGTGGGAGTTCAGTAAGTTTATTGACACACTCGGATCTCTCCGTCTGAAAGTTCATCAACAGCGTGGCCCTGTCCTGCCATCTGGTGGGAAGTGTCGGAACCAAAACCTCAACACGTCCAATAACACCGCCGTGGCCTTCAAATGAAAACGAAATAATATTTTTTAACTTTTTTTTAAACACGCTTTAATGAAATGTACCGTACTAGTAATGGAAGAACTCCACAACTCCAGGAAGTGGCCCCGAAGCTTGCCATAACGTCAGGGATCGTGGCCAATTACAGCCAACGTCAGTTGACCGTGGACAATTAGACCCAAGCCGAAACATAACATAAAACATAATGTTTTAAAATATATTGTTTTATTTTTAATGATAGAATATAATATTGCTATCGGTATGACATACGTATACCAAGTTTGCAGTCGATACCACATTGGGAAGTGGGTTAAAATTGAGTTACAAGATTTGAGGATACAACGACAACAACAGACAGAGTGAGTTAAATAAAAGCGTGTAAAAACGTAATATAAAATAGGCGACGTTTCGGGCAATGATCCTTCGTCATAGCACTTCAATAAACGGGCCAGTAGAGAGACAGAGTGGTTGATAACGAGTCGGAGACTCCATTTGCTCACACTGTGGGGCCTGATGAGAATTGCAGTCGACAACATGACTTATGACACCAGCTTGTTTAAATAGGTGTACGGAGAGTCACACTCACAGGAGCTATTGAGATACAGACGAACCCCTTTAAAAAAAATAACGTGGCTACGTTTTGGGCAGATGTTTGATGTAGGATATTAAAATGCGTCTTGTTCAATGTTTGTTACATAATGTGTGTGGGGAGCGGTGATGTAGCGGTTAGCTGCGCTACGAACCCGGCGACCCGAGTTTGATTCCCGCTCACGGTCAACACCAGTGGACGATTATTTGAACCCGTCCTGGGCCTCCCCTAGGTCGACTCAGCTGTGTAAACATCGCCACTGGGGAGACAAAGGCGGCTGTCCGTGGTGCTGGTCACCCACTCCCTTGTGTGCCGTGCCGACTTTCATAGGTGCTCGCTAACAGCACTTGCTCCAACAGTCTGTGAAGGCTATGTGGGGGGGGGGGGGGGGGGGTCTTTGATATGAGAATCGGCTGCTGTTATGATTGAGAGTTTGGGCTGGCTTCTGGACCGAGGTATTGAGTTGCGGTTTTGTGACGTAGGGGGGGGAGGTCTCTGATCGCTATTGTGACGTAGAGGGGGGTCTTTGATCGCTATTGTGACGTAGGGGGTGAGTCTTTGATCGCTATTGTGACGTAGAGGGGGGGCGGTCTCTGATCGCTATTGCAGAGACAGCAATTTGCCCTTCTGAAGAGGACTTTTGAAATAAAATGTTGCCGTTTCCATACCTGTCAACCCCTTATCAGTGCCCCACCATATTACAGTGCCCCACCTTATTACAGACCAATTCAGACCTTATTGGTCACCCAGTGACCCTTATACATCTCAACTTTCATCTTACTAAGTCCCATGTTGAGTCTATGGGCAGTGTTGAGTCTGTGGTGTAGTGTTGAGTCTATGGTACAATGTTGAGTCTATGGAGCAGTGTTAAGTCTATGGTGCAATGTTGAGTCTATGGGCAGTGCTGAGTCTATGGTGCAGTGTTGAGTCTATGGTGCAGTGTTGAGTCTATGGTGCAATGCAGGGGCGGTTTCTTCATTAGGGCGATTGGGCGACGCACCACCAATGTCATTCAACCACAGAGTCACGCTAGCCGTCACTGTGCCTCTGGATATAGTCCAATCAGCGTCATGTCACGTTCTGTGGAGTACCGCCTCTTTTTGGGCGATTTCACTCCGGCTGAGAATCGCCCCGAGTGGCCCCATAGACTTACATTGAAAGATGTTTTTTTTCGAACGGGGGCGCTCCAATGCATTCTTTATGGCTTCCAGGAGGGCATGCACTAACGTGCTTACGTCATCATACGTGCTAACGTCATCATACGTAAGCACGTTTCATCCAACAATATAATTTATCGCCACCTAGTGGAATCTTTAATAAAATAAACGAGTGTTGAGTGGTTTGTTTTAATAGTGAGTATAGAAACAAACAAGATGTATTGTAAGAGTCACTTTATTTTTCATTAATATTAAAGAAGTGAAGTTGCCTTTTCATGCTTAAGCTGTTAATTTATCCATTGCATGGGTGGACCTTATCCTTATCAATCATCCAGACATTTGCCCCCCCTGAGAGATTTTGCAGGAGCCGCCACTGGTGCAATGTTGAGTCTATGGTGTAGTTTTGAGTCTATGGTGCAATGTTGAGTCTATGGTGCAGTGCTGAGTCTATGGTGCAGTGTTGAGTCTATGGTGCAGTGTTGAGTCTACGGGCAGTGTTGAGTCTACAGGGCAGTGTTGATTCTATGGTGCAGTGTTGAGTCTACGGCAGATGTCGTAACCGGGTACCCGATACCCGTACCCTACCCGATACCCGGCTACCCGTACCCGGCCTAGTACGGGTAGCCGTTTGCGACCCTGGTGCGGCCGGGTACGGGTAGGCCGTGAGTCACTTGTGAGTAACCGTTTGTCACTCATTTCGGGTAGGGAAGGGGTACCCATTTGCGACCCTGGTGCGGCCGGGTACGGGTAAGGAATCAAAACCCGTTTGCGACCTCTGCAGGGCAGTGTTGAGTCATGGTGCAGTGTTGAGTCATGGTGCGGTGTTGAGTCTATGGTGCAGTGTTGAGTCTACGGGCAGTGCTGCTCAACGTAAAGGGTAATTTTATTCCAGCGGAAGGTTGCAAGAGTAATGCGTGCACCAGTCGAAGTCAGGGGAGCACCACGGCTCTTTATTTGCCTCGCGAGCGCTCACGCGAAACACGCCCCCCTCACTCCGATTCCCGCCGAGAAGCGCCCCAATCGCCCCGCCCCTTCCGGTGATGTCACACCCCCCCCCCCCCCTTTTCGAGGCGTCTCCTACCTGTCGTCCCGCCTTCTCTTTCCTTTCGCTCGTGACGTCATCCTCTCATGGGAACCTCCCCCCTCACGTAAGTATCAGTGCGGTATCTCAAGTAAGTACAGTGATACCTCGGTTCACGAACTCAATTCGTGAACTGACTCTGGTCGCGAACCGAATTGGTCGTGAACCGAGGCACATTTTCCCATAGGGTTCAATGTAAATCCGGTTAATCCGTTCTGACCTTTTTTTTTTGTTTTTGAAGCACAAAAATATGAAACAAATTACAATACACATTAGTACTGTACAGTATAGTAATGTATAAAGAGAGAACACTAACCTTGCTTGAGATGACATCAGTAAGCACTCAAACGGGTGAACTGTACAATACAGTAAGTACAGTATTGTACAGTAGTACAGTACAGTACTGTATGTGCTAAAAAGCACACCAAAAAGCAAAAAGTCTTTGAAAGTGTCTTCACAGTACTCACAGTACTTCTTTCTGTGTCTCTTCTTCTCTCCACGATCTTCCTACAGGAAGTCACGACCATGCGACAGCCTGGAAATAGCATTAAAATGGCCGCGGCTCCTGTTCGTGAACCGAAGCGGAGTTCGTGAACCGGAGCATATTCGTGAACCGAGGTATCACTGTATTACTACACAAGGAAGGAAGGAAAAATACAACGGGACAATTTGCTCCGTTCCCTATTCCTATTTCCCCTATCGATATCTGCCCTTGCGTACCTTAGTCAAGTGATGCGTTGTATTGTTGCAGAGGCAGAGAGAGAAAGATGGGGGCACGAACACAAAAAACCCCTCCGTACTCTACCGCGATTCTCACTTGAATTCAACAATCGACAGATTCCCACCGCCGACAAAACGTCCCTGGACGAGCTGCCCCTCGAGGCGGAAGGCGGGCAACAGGGGCTGAGCGAATGTGCAGCGGAACGCGTGGAGGGGCGCCATCGTATCGGCGCAGTGGAACGCGACGAGCCCGGCGTCCCAGTCCAGGTACACGCCGATCCTCCGCAGCGACCTCCCCGGCACTGGCCTCCCCGGCGCCAGCGCCGGTGTCGCCGCGACGCCGTCGTGCAACGCCACGATCCTCTCGCCGTGCTTCTCCAGGCACCACGAGATATCGTTCATCCCGAGGCGGCACGCGGGCCCGCTGCCCTTCCTCGCGATGGACGCGTACGAGACGCCGACGCGGCACGCGCGGCCCGCGGACGCCACGTCCACCTCCCAGTAGTGGCGGCCCGACGAGTAGGCGTCGGAGCAGAGCACCTGCTCCCACTCGTCGAAGCGAGCGGAGTTGTCGCGGCTCAGCAGGCGCCTCAGCATGACGTTGGTCTCCTTGGCCGCCAGCGTCACCGTCTTGAGGTCTCCGGAGATGCGGAGTTCGCTGTGAGCCGAGCTTTGATCCAGACTGGGCGATTTTCCATCTGCGAATTAATCAACGTTAATTTGTTGTCGTACTTTTAAAAAATATATATAATTTGAGTGACTTGCTTACCACTTTCTCTATGTGTCTGTGTGTACTGTGTTTGCTGTGGGAAGCAGTGGCATAGCGGTAAGCGCACTGCACTACGAACCTGACTACCCGAGTTCGATTCCCGCTCATGGCCAACACCAGTGACGATTTATTTGAACCGGTCTTGGGCCTCCCCTAGGTCGACTCAGCCCCAGATGAGAACCTGGCCAGGCGTGTTGCTGGCCACCCATCACCTGATGTGTCATAGGTGCTCGCTAACAGCACTTGCACCAAGAAGCCTGTTAAGGCTATAGGGGGAATCTTTTTCTTTGTTTGTGTTTGCTGTTGTTGTTATTCGCTGTCTTCCCCCCCCCCCCCGTGCCCCCATACTGGACATCTGCCTAAAAGAGCTTTACAGCTCATCGTATTCCTCCTACGGTTTAAATAAGGATGACGATTCTGATTAATTAGGAAGGCGCTGGGAGCTATGCACTTTTAAATATAAATGTGTGTTTAGTTTGTTGTCGTTCCCCTGCACCTCCAAATTAGCACGGTTGGCTACGTACGTTATGAAATAAATTCAAGATACATACGTACATTAATGACCCTGATAAGTGATCATAATTACATATGCCATACGTGTGTGTAGATATTTAGCTTTTTGAACAGCAATGCATCGTTGTTGTCTTTGTCACATGTAGCATGTAGGGGGAAACTGGAACATACAACTATAAACTAAACTATTTTTTAGTCTACCAGGTAAGGCCCACTGAGCTATGTAGCTCTTTTTCAGAAGCCACCTGGCTACCACAAATAATAGCTCTACGAAGTGGCATATCGAGATTTATAGCAGCAGCCAAATAATTTAAACACATGGCGTTGATTTTAAATGTGAAGGGAAAACCGGAGGACCTGAAGAGAAATCCATGCTACTACGGGGAGAGAAAGAGAGACGCAAACTCCAAATGTATAGCAGTCGTCGGGATCGAACCCACGTCATCCTGCATACCAGGCGAGGTAGTTAAAATCTCCTAGCCACAAGAGGTCAGACATGGTTGACAGACCCCTTATGCTACTTTCAAGGGCGTGAGACGATGCATGCAGCAACAACCTGCAATGGTTTGCTCGCACGACTTCTGGCAGAAGGGTCTCACACAAGAGGGAGATCTGGACGACTCCTCCAGATGGCGATTGGCCTACTCCTCCACGCTGGCAGGAATGGTCGAAGGATCTCCAGAGTATGAGTTCATTTCTGCCATGAGCAGCTAAAGTCAATGGGGTTTCGAGACCCAAATCAGGGCCAGGATTAAGTCCGTGCCCTTTAATCTTGAACAGAACAAGTGGCACCCGGTCAAGTCTGCTGTGGAGGTACCCTGGGACGTTTTTTTTTTCCCAGCCGTAATGATGTAGGCGTTTTAGCCGATGATTTAGGGTCTCCTACGGAGGTGACAACACTCGTATGAGCATGTATACTTTGAACAAATCTAATTGCGCTGTACAGGTATTCCCTCGTTAATATTCACGAACTTGGCTATCCGCAATCTTGGCTATCTGCTAATCGCATCTAGATCTATCTACATGACTGCTGGATCGAGAGAGAGGGAGAGAGAGAAAGAAAGTGATGAGAGATAAAGTGTAGTATCATCCTAATTTAAGGTAACTTCATTTATAAACTATGAATACTTGAATATGTATTTCTATTTAGGTTATCTTAATTATAACCATGTTTTGTGTTATTATGATAACTTTCAGATATTTAATAGTTATTTACTCATTTATTTAAGATAATTCCTTTTAAAAAGATATGTTTTCGAGAGGCCAATATTATTCTCAGCAACATGTGCTATTCATGACCATCTCCGGAACGTATCACTTCTCACAGCGAATATCAAGGTAACACTGTAGATACCAACACCAATTCTCGCCATTCGCCACTAAGTGACGGTGAAGTCACCATGGCGTTTGTGCCAGGCTATGTGCACGTTAAGGCCACGTGAAGTGTCGAACGCCTGCCGGCAGGAGGTCATGGGGTAGACCCAGGTGCCATGGGTCGAATTAATAAGATGACTTACATTTCTTAATCAGTTGAGTCCTGTTGAAGCAATCCGGCGTGACGTCTGACGGTCCATTCGCGCTGACCCTGGGCCCTGCTGCCGGCTGCACCACGTGGGGACCCTTCGGCCCTCTGGGCGGCAGCAGATCGGTCCGCTTGATCGGAACTCTCGGCGGGACGCTCGGCCGGTCTCCGTCATCGCCTGCGACGATCTTTGGAAGCGTTTGTGTTGGCGTTGGCGGCGGCGGCGTTGGTGGCGACAGGGAAGATAGTGGCAGGGAAGGCGCGGGCTTTGCGGAGCCCGTATAGACATCCAGTAGCTCGCCGAGCCTTTTCTCCAGAGGAGCGGCCATGGAAAACTGGGCCCTCGGCGCGGGGGAGGGCTCTGGCGGAGCTTTCGCCAGGGCGCCGAACCTTGCGTGGAAAAACGTGGCGCGGTGGTGGGTCACTAGCAGTGCAAGGAATATCCTAGTAGCAAAAGTAGCATGTGCTCCTTATCAGTGTCTTATTATATTAGTAGCAAAAGTATCAAATGCTATGGGCCCAGCACTTTCAAGCGCCCCGCGCTAAATGCTTTCAAGCTATCAATTCCGTACTCTTTTGTTCATTCGGTAAAGTCACGTAGGTAGAAAAATTAAATACAAAATAATATATCACGACGTTTCGATCGCAACACAAGTGGTCGTCCTCAGGTGGGAAACTTATCCAGCAGTGGAACAATTCTTCCTATTTTGTCCGCCTGAGGACGACCGCTTGTGTTGCGATCGAAACGTCGTGAGATATTACTTTTTTAGATTTTTTTTCTACCTACTTGACTTTACCGAAATAACCAAAGAGCATGGATTCCTGCAGTCACGAAACGCTTCAAATCAAGATACTATCAATTCCGGTTCAGTGATTCTGCACTTGCTGTATTACTATAGTACTATACCACTTTCAACTTGTATGAACGACTGGGTGTTTAAGGTTAGCGATTTGTCGTATTATCTGGCTGTATAGCAAATGGAAAAATACAATTGCTTTACTATGCAAGTAAAAAATTGTGTTTTAATATTTATGTGTTTTTATAACATATGCTACAGGCCCTGCACAAGTTTTATCCGGCGCTGGTCACTAGAACTGGAGTTTGGAAACTCACCCGGTTTAAACTAAACGATGTTGTGAAATGAGAATGATCAATTCCCTCTACCAATATCCCAGGGCCTACGGATGAATTGCTCGGGTTTATACAACATCTGCATGCCCATGACCTGCTATGTTTTACCTTACCTCTCTGAGTCTTGGGCGAACCTCTGGAATGTAAACAGTGTGAATGCACACACACACACAGGCACACGAACACGCACGTACACACAAAGCAATTAGCAAGGAGTGCGGGTTGTTTGCATCACAGTGGAGTTTCCACCACACGATTAGCGTCCACGGCAAGACGACGTACATCGGTTAACGGCCTGGTTGACACGAGACAGCTGATTGTTGACAAATTCCCAACGTATTATCCAGTTCATCTTCTTGGTTCTTTCGGTAAAGTCACGTAGAAGGGAAGTAATAAAATAATACAAATAAAACATAATAAAATAATATAATAATATAATAAAATAATATAATATAATAATATAATATTATAATATAATAATATAAAATAATATAATAATATAATAATCAACAACAGTATTATCCAGTTGTTGACTCATGCAGCCACACATTCACAGACTGTTGGGGCCAAGGCTGTTCGCGAGTAGCGGCACCTATGAAGGCCGACACGGCACACGAGGGGTGGATGGCCAACACCCCAGTAGCGATGTTTTACACACCACACCAGGTACTCATTTGAGGCTGAGTCGACCAAGGGGAGGCCCATGACCGGTTCAGATGATCGCTGTCACTAGTGTCGGTGGTGGTCTTGAGCGGAAATGGAACACGGGTAGCTGGGTTTGCAGCGCAGAGAGCAGTGCTACCCGCTACACTATCGCTCCCCAGACACACACACACAGACATACACACAGACACAAACACACACAGACACACACAACAACCGCCATTCGCCACTAAGGGGCGGTGACGTCACCACAGCGCTTGTGCCAGGCGATGTGCACGTTGAGGGCATGTGAATTGTTGAACGCCCGCTGGCAGGAGGTCACAGGGCAGACCCAGGTGCCAGGGGTCGACTGACTGAGATGACTGGCCGATACACCACCTGTGCTCCCTAATGTGCCAACTTGCTGTGCTTTAGCCACCCGGCGCTCCGCTCATTGTTGTGAGCGTCGCTCCTCTGCCCTCCGTTGTTGCTGGAGGGTGACTGCCTCCAACTGCCCAGGAGCATCCTTCACGACCCAGTCAACGTAGCCTTGCCTGCTGGAGGAGCTCACGAATGGGACTTTGTCCAGCTCTTTCAAGGATTTGTGAGCTCCTCACACAATCCAGCCTGGTATCATAGGCCTTGACCAGGTCAATAAAGCAGAGATGTAGATCTTGTTGGAATTCCCTACACCTCTGCTGTAGCGGACGGACAGAAAAAATGGCATCTGTGCAGGACCGCCCTTTTCTGAAACCTGAAACCACATTGGGGCTCCGCAGGCCTCTCCTCTGCGTGCCTAGCAAGGTGATGTTGAATAATCCTTGCCAGGACCTTCCCCGGCACACTGAGGAGTTAGATGCCCCTGTAGTTGTTACAGTCTGTGTGGTCCCCACACAGGCTGTAACAGCTACAGGGGGGACCGCCAGGGCATCCTTCCAATCCTGTGGAACCCGTCCAGTGGTCCAGACTGTTGTTATGATGTCATATAGGGTAGTCTGTGCACAAACGCCACCCTCCCTCAGCATTTCGCTTGGAGATCATCTCTGGCCGGTGCCTTTCCTGGTCTCAGACTCTGCAGCACCTTCAGTACTTCCTCAACCGATGGCACCTCAGCCAGCCACTCACAGGGAGTGGCTTCTAATATTTGAGGCACCGAAGCCTCAGCAGGGTCATCCCCACTTTGTTCCACAATGTTTTCTAGGCTGAAGGATTCTCCCTCCCCAGGACCTCACAGAGATGCTCAGCAAATCTGCACACCTGTTCCTGGGGGTCTGAGATTGGCTCACCGTTCTTTCCCCTAATGATGGTAATAGGTGTGGCGCTGCAAGTTAATTTTTTGATGGAGTTAAAGAGCGATTTGTGATCGTGGGCCATTGAGGCAGACTCCTCCCCAGCAACCCGCGACCACCACCCATCCTTGCAGCACCTCACAGTTCCCCAAACCTCCAAGCGAAGGCTGCGGTAAGCCGCCTCATTTTCTGACGTGGGATGCTGTAGACGATTAGAGTGGGCCTGTCGCTTTTTATCAGACAGCCTGAACACCTCCTCTGTCAGCCAGGGTCTCTGGGGAGGTCTGGACCGTGTACCTAAAGCAGCCATTGCAGCTGCATGAGGCACAGTCCTAAACCTCGCCCATTTCCCCTCAACATCAGGAGGAGTGGAGGACGATGCCAACCCCAGCCGCAAGCGATGATGAAATTCTTACTTTCAACTTTCATCAGCTAGCTGAAACCAGGCCACTATAGGTCTTGAATGGGGTCCTGGGTGTACACCCACTACCGGAGTGGAAGAATGGCAGGCACATTTTACATATGACAAGTCGATGGTCAGTGGGCAGATCAAACACACACACAGACACACACACACACTCACGTGCGTGGCCACTTGTTACCTGGAGAAAATCCACGGGATCCTCGGTGACCTCCAGGTCCTGGATTTTCCCGAGCGCCTCGCGGAGCTCGAGCTGAGCTGCCCGTCGCCTCTCGATCTCGCGGTGAACCCCCATCAGCTTCGAGGCGAGCTCGTCGTCCACAGCCGCCAACGCCGACTCCCGGTCCCCGGCGATGAGATCGAGGAGCTCCGCATATCGGCCACTCAGTCTCGACTTGGTGCCCGCCGCTCCGTCCTGGGGCCGGCAAAGGGCAATTGCGAAGAGTTGCGTTTTTTGTTGTTGTTTTTGAATGGCAACAAAACGATTGCGACGTTATAGTCCCAAGTGGCTCGTCACTAGTGTAGTGTGTAGCGTAGTGTGCAGTGTGTAGCGTAGTGTATAGTGTAGTGTGTAGTGTAGTGTGTAGCGTAGTGTATTGTGTAGCATAGTGTTGCGTAGTGTATAGCGGAGTGTGTAGCGTAGTGTAATAGTAGTGTATACTGTAGTGTGTAGCATAGTGTATAGTGTTGTGTGTAGTGTGTAGCACAGTGTATAGTGTAGTGTGAAGCATAGTGTAGTGTGTAGCTAATGTGTAGTGTAGCGTATAGTGTAATAGTAGTGTATAGTGTAGTGTGTAGCATAGTGTTTAGTGTAGTGTGTAGCGTAGTGTATAGTGTAGTGTATAATGTCATGTATAGTTTAGTATAGTGGAGTGTATAGTAGTATGTAGTAGTGTATAGTAGTGTATAGTGTATTGTAAATAGCATCTGAAAGCGCCACGCGATGCCGGTGACCGCCTTCGTTCGACGGCCTGGCCAAAAAGCCGCCAAGCTGATGAGATCGGCCAAAGCGAGGAGCTCACCTCCAACAGGCGGGTCGTCTGCTCGAGATCGGCGATGCCGGCGGTTATCGCCACGTCCTTCCCGCCCAGTGTCTCCTTGAGCGCGATCAGTTGGCTCTGCGGAAGCGCAGTCGCGTTCACCGTCGGCATTGCCGCTTGTCGCGAGCTTGGGCATCGCGCATTTGCCCACGGCTGCTCGTGCCGCTGTGTGTCTGCACGAAGCTAGTCTCTGTGGGTGGCTGTGGGTGTCTCTATGGATCTGGGTGTCTGTGGGCCTCTGTATATGTCTGTACGTATGTACGTTGAACGTCATTGGCACCATGGGTAGCCAGCCGTGCTAATCTGTGCATCTATGTGGGTGTTTATAGATGTCTCTGAAGCGTATCTATGGGTCTGAGTATCTGTGGGTCTTTGTGTGTCTACGTTGAACTTCTGTCGCACCGTGTGTAGCCAGCCATGCTAATATGTGGGTTTCTGTGGGTCTTTGTGGGTCTGGGTGTCTGTGGGTCTCTGTGTGTACAGTACGTTTAGCATCTTCGCCGATTGGAAACATTTAGGCTGGCCTGCCTACGATGCATCCTGGGTTTAACAAGGCTGGATTGTGTGAGGAGCTCACAAATCCTTGAAAGATATGGGCAAAGTCCCATCGGTGAGCTCCTCCGGCAGGCAAGGCTGCATTGGCAGGGTCATGTAGCCCGCATGCCCAGCCACCGCATGCCTAAACAGCTTTCGTTCGGCCGGATAGAGGGGGCTAAACGGGCGCGGCATGGGCTAGAGAAGAGATGGAATGATGTGGTACAGGAGGATGTGGAGCTGAGTGCAGGTTACGCTATGTTGTGTGTTGAGTTGATGTAATACATAGTGTTGCTCCCAAGACAACGTCTGCAACTCAGTTGGACTCGCTACACATTATTGACACTATACATTATTAACACCATACATTATTCACACTACATTATTAACGTACATTTGTTATGTTTACAGTGTAGTATTATCCGCCTCTTTTCCCCATTTAAAAAAAAACGACAGTCCCATAGAAGTGTTCACATTTCTTTTTGAAGCGCCCTGTGAATGAAAAAAAATAGCTTTTTGATTTGTTTGCGTTCGTTCGCTCGCTCGTCGTTCAATGCAAGTTTCAACTCACGCCCTTCGCCCGCCGCTCATCTCTCGCGGGCGCGATGTCGTGTCTGCTGTGCGCGCTCGTGCAGTCGACGCAGATCAACCGCCCGTCCGTCCTGCAGTAGAGACCCAGCGTCTGTCCGTGGCGCGGGCACCTCCCGGTCGTATCCTCCCTCGACTCCGCGCCGCCACCGCCGTCGCCCTCGGCCAGCTGCTCCAACACGTCGGCGATGACGATGTTCCTGCTCAGCGTGGGCATCGTGAAGTAGACCTTGCAGCAGAGAGGGCACGTGTAGCCACGGCCCTCTGACTGTGCTCGCCAGTGGCTCTCGATGCACGCCTTACAGTAGGTGTGGCCGCAGTCGAGGCTGGCCGGTTCGCGGAACGTGTCGAGGCACACGGCGCAGCGGAGTTTCAGGTCGACGGAGGACTCGGCCATGATCGGAGTCAACGAAGAGTCGCTTTGCTCCGTCGACACTTCCGACCTCCCCCCAAAAGCCTTTCACTATGAGAGGCGAGAAGAATCCGAGGAGAGGCGATAACACCAATGAAGGTTTCAATTTGAGAAGAGAAAACAAAGATTAATTAATCGCGCGCGCGTTAAAAACAATTAACAAACTTGAAAACGAACGGCGGGTGACTTCTGCACGTCCGACTGGGTCAAGCGAAATCATTGTTCCAGGAACTATACTTTGTGAGAGATCAGCACTTTAACAAAAAATATATATTAGGGGAAAAAACCCAGACATTCTAGTCGGACCGCATGCTTCGTTCGCGTCCCATAACCCAGCGGATATATATAAACACAAAGCTCCCCCGTGTAGCCTTAACAGACTGTTGGGGAAAGTGTTGTTAGCGAGCAGCACTAGTACAGCACTAACCGGTTGTGTGTTGGAGAGCAAATCCACAACATTCACAATCTGAGTACGGAGTACAATCACAATCTGTGCGTTACTCGTACAGCACAAACCGGTTGTGTGTTGGACAGCAAGTCCACAACATTGACAATCTGAGTACAATCACAATCTGTGCGTTACTCGTACAGCACAAACCGGTTCGATCGGATGCATTTACAATCTTGAGTAACGTGATTTGTTATCTTTGTTTGCATCGTTGGCGCATCTGTCACTCGTTCGTCAGTCAACCCGCGTGCTGCTCCACATTCCTCATCATTTCCACGGCACGGAGCTTACGAGCCTGGCCACCTGGGTTCGATTCCTGCTTAAACTAAACTATGTTTTATTTGAGCAGGTAAGGCCCACTGAGCTGCTATGGGCGGGTGGGGTGGCACGTACCCCCCCCCCCCCAATGATCCGATCGAAATCCCTCATTTCGATCGGATCATTGGGATTTATGAGTAATTAATCGGTATTTTGCAACCCCCACTGCCACTGTATAGCATATTATTACATGCCAGGGACTCTATGAGATGATATGACAATAGTCTGAGTCCATAATTGGCAATGAGTTAAAGGCAAAGCGGTTATAAGTGACTCACAGAATTGTGCACGGTTGCGTATACAGGACACGACTTCCCTGAAGGCATCAACAGCTTCAGCGAGCGCGATGCCGATCACACGACGCGGTTTGAATTCGACCCTCAATAGATGGCCGCGACATCGTCGCACACGCATCGTATAAAAAGCAAGGGACAAGTCCATACTTACTAACAACTCCTTACTTACTAACAACTCCCTACTTACTAACAAGTCCTTACTTACTAACAACTCCCTACTTACTAACAACTCCTTACTTACTAACGTCTTACTTACTAACGAGTCCCTACTTACTAACAACTCCTTACTTACTAACAAGTCCTTACTTACTAACAACTCCTTACTTACTAACAACTCCCTACTTACTAACAACTCCTTACTTACTAACCTCTTACTTACTAACAAGTCCCTACTTACTAACAACTCCTTACTTACTAACAAGTCCTTACTTACTAACAAGTCCTTACCCACTAACAACTCCTTACTCACTAACAACTCGTTACTAACAAGTCCCTACCTGCTAACAACTCCTTATTTACTGGCAACTCTTTACTTACTAACAACGCCTTACTTACTAACAACTCCTTACTTACCAACAACTCTATCATTATTACACGCTTTTATTTAACTCAATCTGTTGTTCTCGTATCCTCAAATATTGTAACTCAATTTTAACCCACTTCTCAATGTGGTATCGACTGCAAACTTGGTATACTTATGTCATACTGATGACAATACTATATTCTATTTTTTAAAACATATTCTTAAACATTATTTTTTATATGTTATGTTTCGCCTTGGGTCTTATTGTCCACGCTCAACTGACGTTGGCTGTAAATTACCACGGCCCCTTACGTTATGGCAAGCCTCGGGGCCACTTCCTGGAGTCGTGGAGTTCTGCCATTACTCGTACGGTACATTTCATTAAAGCGTGTTTAAAAAAAAGTATTTTTAAATATTACTTATTTAGAAACGACCTCGCTATGACAAGTGACAGTTCAACGTAGTGGCTTATCATCATTGTCAGCTAGAAATGTATAACAGCAGCCAAATCCTCTAAACACGTGGAGACGTTGATTCTAAACGTGGAGGGGGGTGTGCAGGAGGTCGTGGGTTCGATCCCGACCCTGTAGATTTGGAGTCTGCGTGTCTCTCTCCCCTGGAGAAAAACTCACGCCACCGCGGGGAGAGAGAGACGCAGGTTCCAAATCTACAGCAGCAGCAGGAGTCGTCAGGGTCAGGATCGAACCCACGACCTCATGCACACCAGGCGAGGTAGTTAACATCTCCTAGCCACCGTGATGATGATGATGAGAGAGACGCAAACTCAAAATCTATAGCGGCAGGCATCGTCAGGGTCGGGATCGAACCCACGACCTCCTGCACACCAGGCGAGGTAGTTAACATCTCCTAGCCACCGTGATGATGATGATGATGATAATGAGAGAGAGACCCGCATACCACATTACACTATACACTAAAATATACACAACACTATAGACTTAATACTACACTGTACACTACGCTACATACTACACTATACGCTACACACTACACTACTATACACTACACTATACGCTACGCCTCACTATACACTACTATACGTGAAACACGACACTCCTATACACTACACCACCATACTAAATTGAAAACGAATTTCTTTAGAACTGCTTGTTGTTGTGTTTAGTGTAGGTATGGTGCAAAAGAAGTTCAACATAACACACACACACGCGACGCTATACTGCAGTCGGTAGGCACATTTTGGGCTCAGTCAACCTAGAGGAGGCACACACCGCCCCATGGTTCGTAGGCCGGCCACAGGCACGGCTGCACAGACCCAACTCACACAAATGGAATGCGGAGGGTCAAGGGAACTTTCTTTAGACATTCTTCTCGCGACAACGCAAAAATACTAAACTGTGGGCGTGTGAGAAGAGTAATTATATAATTTGGCAACGTTTGGGAAAATTCCGCTTCTTCAAGATGTTGTGTGCTCATGGAGAAGGGCCCTTGCCCGAATTGTCGCACGTTGTGTTGTACGTCGTATACGGTCACACGAGTATCATCATCCTCGCAGCGGCTTTTGGCTGGCCATGAAAAAAAAATCACTACATTGTGCAGTCAGATACTATATACACTACACTATACACTACACTATACACTACACTATACACTACACTATACACTACACTATACACTACTATACACGACACTATACACTACACTATACACGACACTATACACTACTATACACTACTATACGCGAAACACTACACTCCTATACACTACACCATACGCTACTATACACTACACTATACACTACTATCCACTACACTATCCACTACACTATCCACTACACCAGGGGTCTGCAACCTTTAAGACATAAAGAGCCACTTGGGCCCGTTTCCGAAGGAAAAAATAAACTGGGAGCCGCAAAACCATTGCGACATTTAAAACAAATATAACACTGCATATATTGTTTCTTACCTTATTGCTGTATACAGGATCGTGCAGTCAGCTGTCAATCTGAATAAAAAAGGACTTTTTCACTTAACAATGTAAAATATATTTTTACAAATTAATAGCTAAATTACCTGGTTAATGGGATTTTTGCTCCTGAACCTCAGTGCACAGTGTCTGCACATCAGGGCTGTAAGACGTCACCTTCATTTTCACACAGGCTTGCAAGCTGTCATCTGTGAGGCGTGATCGATGTTTGTTTTTAATATAGTTCATGTTGGAGAAGACCTGCTCACATACATATGTGGAGCCGAAGATCGACAGGACTCCAAATGCATACTTTTTCATGTTTATATAAGTGTTGGGGATGGCATTCCATGTTTCGAATACAAGTTTGTCCTGTTTGGGAAGGTTTTCAATATCACTCCATTTATGATTCTGAGCCAGAATGGCCTTCTGACGGGCAACATCCTCAAGAGTAGCGGTCAAGCATTTGAACTTGGACACCCATATATCTTTGTCGGCTATATCGGCCAGTTCCATCTCAAGATCAGGTTGACTTACACCTGCAAATGCAGTCATATTCAATAGGGATGGATCGATCGCCAGGGGAGTGACAGGGAAGGATAATGTCGTTTTTTCCTCTCTGAACTCACAGAATCGTTTCCCAAACGAACTTTGCATTGTGGTGATTGCAGACTTGAAATATTCCAAATTTATCGTATCATGACTTTGTTTGAACTCTCTCAAAGAGGGAAAGTGAGACAGTGTACCTCTCTGTAAATCTTTGACAAACACTGTCAACTTGTGCTCGAATGCCAAAACCTCCTCCAGCATGTGCAGGGCTGTGCCTCCTTTCCCCTGAAGGGTTGTATTTAGCGTGTTTAGATGTGCTGTCATGTCTACCATAAAATGTAATTTTTCCAGCCACTCTGGCTGTTCCAGCTCAGCAAAGGTGAGCTCTTTGCTGCCCAGGAAGGTTTTTACTTCTTCCAAACATGTGACAAAGCGTTTTAGCACCTCGCCTCTGGACAGCCACCGGACCTTGTTGTGGAGCAGGAGGTCAGAATATATGCTTTCCACCTCATCCAATAGCAAACGGAACTGGCGGTGGTTTAAACCCTTTGCCATTATCTTATTAACAATCTGAATGACCACATCCATCACTTTTGTGCATTCCGGGGGAAATGTTTGAGCACACAATGCCTCTTGGTGCAGGATGCAATGAAATGACAGCAGCGTTCTACCCAGCGCCTTCTGCAGTAGAGCCACAAAGCCCTTCTGTGCTCCTCTCATGCTCGGTGCCCCATCAGTAGCCACTGAGACCAGGTGGTTGGTGTTTATTTTTTTAGCACTTAAAAAGTCCACGACAGCCTTACAGATATCCTCACCCCTTGTTTGGTCTTTTAGTGGTATCAGCTCAATCAGTTCTTCCTGTGGCCCAAAAGAGTTCACATATCGGCAGAACAGCGCTATTTGTTCAATATCACCTTTATCTTTGGACTCATCACAGGCGATGGAGTACGCCACAGCTGAATTAATGTCTTGAATTTGCTGTTTGCTAATGTTTTCTGCCATTTTTAGGGTTCTGTCTTTGACAGTCTTCGCAGAGAGAGGCACGTCTTTGATTTTCTGCACAATTTCATTCTTGTTTTTGAAGTCCGTGTATAGATGTTCCGAAATATTAATGAATGCTTCTTTTATATACTATCCATCTGTGAAGGGCTTCCCGTGCTTCACTATTTCCTGAGCGGCCACAAAACTAGCATATGTTGTGGAATTTTCAGTCTTCACCCACTTCTTGAAATTATTTTTGCTCATATTAACCTTCCTCATAAGTTCTGCAATGGCTTTTCGTCTCTCATCTCCATCTGGATATTTTTCAGCAAAGGCTGTGTGTTTATTCTGGAAATGTCTTGCAATATTCGACTTTTTGTTGTTTGCAAATTTCTCACCACATATTAAGCATACTGGTAAACCAGTCTCGTCAGTAGAGAATGCGACTGATTCTGTCATTCGCATTCGGCAACGTTATTGCCTGTCACCGGGCGGGCAGTGTGGAGCGGAGCGGCGACCTGTCAGCAGCGGCAACGCCAGAGCAGGTGTCACAGTGCGCCTCCTCCCCTCGCTAGCATCCGCCCCGGAGCCGCGGTCAAGGTTCAAAAGAGCCGCATGCGGCTCCGGAGCCGCAGGTTGCCGACCCCTGCACTACACTATACACTGCTATACACTACACTGCACACGACTAAATCCGACAATTTTCACTACTATCAACAGAAGGTGTGTACTGGATTAATTGCACTTGTGGCAAATGTTACGTTGTTCTGTTTACGTGACAAACCTTACTAGTTGGCTGTGTCGGGTGGTGGCTGGTTTTACGACACAACATTTAAAAACAAGTAACGGGCTTTTACCCTCTCCGGCAATCATACGGGAGGTGTCGAGATATCCAGACACACACAGGGACACACGCACAACGCAAAGGCAAAGATCCCCCGTGTAGCCTGTAACAGACTGTAGGGGCAAGTGCTGTTAGCGAGCACCTATGAAGGCCAGAACCGCACACGAGGGGATGGGTGGCCAGCACCACGCCCGACCGCCTTTGTCTCCCAGTGGCGATGTTTACTACACACCGCACCAGGTACTCATTTGAGGCTGAGTCGACCTAGGGTAGGCCCAGGACCGGTTCAGATAATCGTCACTGGTGTTGAGCGGGAATCGAACCCGGGTTGCCGGGTTCATAGCGCAGCGTAGCGCTAACCACTACATAACCGCTCCCCACACACACAGATACACTCACACACATACACAACAACAACAACTGCCATTCGCCACTAAGTGGCGCTGCAGGTTCCTTTTTTGATAAAGTTAAATAGGGATTTGTGATCGTGGCCCACTTAGGCAGAATCCATCTCCTCAGCAACCCGCGACCACCACCCATTCTTGCAGCGCCTCACGGCTCTCCGAACCTCCGAGCGAAGGCTGCGGTAAGCCTCATTCTCTGTTATGGGATGCTGTAGACGATTAGAGTGGGCCTGTCGCTTTTTCTCAACCATCCTGAACACCTCTGTCAGCCAGGGTCTCTGGGGAGGTCTGGACCGTGTACCTAAAGCAGCCATTGCAGCTGCATGAGTTACAGTCCTAAACATCGCCCATTTATCCTCGACATCAGGAGTGGGGGACGATGCCAACCCCAGCCGCAAGCGATGATGAAATTCTCGCTTGCAACTTTCATCAGCTAACTGAGACTAGGCCACCTTGGAATGGGGTCTTGGGTGTACACCCACCACCGGAGTGGAAGAATGGCAGGCGCATCTTACAGATGACTAGTCGATGGTAGGTCCTGGTGTCAAGGACATGGGCTCGCATCCACTGATCCGTCACTATGTAGTCCAGCAAATGTTCTTGCTTGGACCCGGCATGCATCCATGATGTTGTGTGGATGCACCGATGCTGGAACAGCGTGTTGGTAATTACAAGCCCATGGGCTGCACAAAAATCTAGCATCCTCCTACCGTTATTGAGCTGATCTGGCCCATGCCTTCCAATCACTCCAGACCAGGTGCCAGCATCATGACCAACTCGGGCATTGAAGTCACCCAACACGATGACTCCATCCCGAGGGGCCACTTTAGCCAGCACCTGTGACAGGAGGTCATAGAATGCATCTGACTCATCGGCCTTGCCTGCATCTCTCCACGGATGTTCGTCTTCGGTGGGGGCATAAGTAATCACGACCACCACTCCTCGCCTCCGATTGATGGGAAGGCGAGCCCAAAGTAGCCTGGGGCTTACAGCTTACCACACCTCACCGCCATGCTCCCACGCCCCCTTCATTATTTTGTTCAGAAGAAGAGCCACACCCTGTTGTTTGGCAGTCTCCTGCCCCGAGTGGAGGACTGTCCACCCCTCATGGTGGCAAGAGCCAGAACCGGTCCACCGGACCTCCTGAATGCCACAGAGATCCATGCGGTACCGGTCCAGCTCCTGACAGAGGAGTGGCAGCCTCTTCTCCGCAGTGAGTGTTCGAACATTCCCCGTGGCCATTCGTAGTAGCTTGTTGTTTCTGGAGGAACTCCGAGGGTAAAGATTCAATCTCCTGGCTCCGTCAAATTGGGTTTGGCCAGGAGACGTCATAGACGCCTGGCCCCCCGGGGCCTCCGGCACAAGCTTATTAGTTACATATTTACGTTTAATTCGTAGTTTAGTGGTAATGAATTGAAGGTGGAAGGGTTGCCAGCCCCTCGCACCCATCCAGAGCCCCCGTTTAGCCACTGTGGTGGTCACAGACGCCATGAGGGGAGAGGCCAATGGGCATTGGCCCTCCCCCCACAGCACTGTCCACGACAGAGTTCCCCGTCCGGCACCGCAAGGAGGTAGGGGGTTGTTTTGACGGACTCTCACACACACACACAGACACACACACTCACACACAGACACACACACAGACACACACACTCACACAGAGACACACACTCACTCACACTCACCCACACACACACTCACCTGCACACTCACCCACACACACACTCACCCACACAAACTCACAGACACACACGCTGTGACAATGTACGCACCGTGTCCCTGACACTGATATGGCGTTCTGCCACGAGACGCCACGTTCAACCATAACCACAAGCACCAACAGCAAAGATTTTGCTGTTTTTTCCTGGATTTTTCTGTTGCGCGTAGCCACTTTAAGATGTTTCTAGGTTCACATTTTTTTTGTAGCGGTTGCACCCGAGTCAAGAGCCGCATGGCTCACAGGGCTATACCGAATGAACTGAACTGATTGGCTACCTCCTAATAGGTGCCCATTCGGTGTGTGAAGATGCTTCGTTTGGTTCGCTGTCCTTCGCGCGCACCTCCGTTAAGCACGGTTGGCTACGTACGGTGCAGTAGAAGTTCAACACACATACACAGAGACCCATAGACACCCATAGAGACCCACAGAGACACACAGATTAGCACGTTTGGCTACGTACAGTGCGGTAGAAGTTCAACACACATACACAGAGACCCATAGACACCCATAGAGACTCACAGAGACACACATATTAGCACGGTCGGCTACGTACGGTACGATGGAAGTTTAACATCACACACATAGTGCGGTAGAAGTTCAACACACATACACAGAGACCCATAGACACCCATAGAGACTCACAGAGACACACATATTAGCACGGTCGGCTACGTACGGTACGATGGAAGTTTAACATCACACACATACACAGAGACCCATCGACACCCATAGAGACCCACAGAGATGCACAGATTGGCACGGTTGGCTACGTATGGTGCAAAAGAAGTTCAACATACACATACACAGAGACCTATAGACACCCATAGAGACCCACAGAGACGCACAGATTGGCACGGTTGGCTACGTACGGTGCAAAAGAAGTTTAACATACACATACAGAGACACACAGACGCCCAGACCCATAGAGACATGCATGGAGCAACACAGATTGATGATCGCGGTTGGCTAGGTACGGTGCGAAAGAAGTTCAACATACATCATGATCATCGTCGTCATCATCGCCACCACCGATACCACCACAATCATCGTCACCACCACCACCATCCTGGCCATCATCATCAACACGATCGTCGTCATCATAGGTGCTGCTACTCGCTAACAGCACTTGCCCCGATAGTCTGTCGCAGGCTACCCGAGGGATCTTTGTCTTTGCGTGTTCATAGGCGCTGCTGCTACTCGCTAACAGCACTTGCCCCAACAGTCTGTGGCAGGCTACACGGGGGATCGTTGTCTTTGCCTGAACGCGAGCGTGTGAGCGCCCTCGCGAAGAAGCGATCACAATACGACACATACGACACACTTCGAGCGAAAAAGGGTAGGGGGGGCACATAAAGCAAAGCATTGAAAAAAAACAAAAAAACTATATGATGAACGAAGCAAAGTGCCGACTACACCGAGCATCTTCTTGTTTCCTCTGATCGTAAAAAAAAAGATGGGTCCCGTGGTCAGCCAGGCGGTCATGAGCCGCGTTCGTCGCTGGACCACAACAGACGCTTCGCCTGTCCCGTGACACGGACGCGACCTTGAATGTACTTCTCTTCCTGTGGGGGAGGGATGGAGGAGAGGGAGGGAGGACAATTGATAACAACACAAAGACGCCATCCGTCTTGCAATCACGAGCGGGCCGATATATAACACACACAGACACACACACAGACAGACACACACACAGAGACACACAGAGACACACAAACGCCGCCCTTTAGCAGATTAGTTCGGTTCAGTCGTCCGACAGATCTCGCTCGCTCTGTTGTCAAAGTCCCTTTGAGCAGGGGAGCTCCTTAGGCGTTCCTCTGACACCGACTCACGCCGACACGAGGAGGAAGCAAAAGGTGATTCCCTTGCTCGGTGAACCTGGCAAACCCTGCCGACTCAGAAGGTCGTGAGATCGATCCCGACCCTGACGACGCCTGCTGGTGTATATTTGAAGTTTACGTGTCTCTCTCTCATCACCATCATCACGGTGGCCAGGAGATGTTAACTACCTCGCCTGGTGTGCAGGAGGTCGTGGGATGAATCCCGACCCTCCCGATGCCTGCTGCTGCTGTATATTTGAAGTTTTCTCGCGTGGCCACTGATCTCGCTGTGCGCTCTCTTTGCTCATCCCACCCACCCCCCCATCTCCCTCGGGTCTTCTCTCTGTCTGTGTGTGTGTGAGCCACTGCAGGAGATGGCGACTCCTCTACCTCCGTTGCTTGCTTCGGCTCTGCTCCTCTTGCTCTGCACGGTGGCACGCGCGGGAGATGATCCGGACGCTCGCAGCTCGGCCTCGTGCCCAGCACCCGCCGCGGGCATCCCGGGCACCCCGGGCATCCCGGGGCTACACGGAGCTCCCGGTCGAGACGGCATAGCCGGTGAGCTTTGGACGGCACAACAACAAACAAACATTTTTCGATTTAAAGCTTTCGTGACTGCAGGGATTCATCTTCTTGGTTCTTTCACAAGTAGTGACTAATCCCATATCTGCATTTCCCATAAATATGCTAAATTCCTCTTGATATGCAAATTATTTTGTCAAGGCGCTCTTCCCCCTCCAACCCAGCTTAAATATACGCTCCAAGCCTGGTGGTGTTTCATTCAGACGCTGTCTTCCCGACAGACCTGTTCTTCACCTGAGGACGGCTGCTTGCGTTGTGGCCGAAACGTCGTGAGAATTATTTTATTATGTTTTGTTTTTATTATTTTATTATTTCCCTTCTAAGTGACTTTACCGAAAGAACCAAGAAGAAAAACAAACAAACAAACAAAGTTCCCCCTGTAGCCTTCGACGGACTGTTGGGGCAAGTGTTGTCAGCGAGTAGCAGCAGCGCCTATGAACACACAAAGACAAAGATCTCCCGTGTAGCCTGTGACAGAATATGTAACAGACTGTTGGGTCAAGTGCTGTTAGCAAGCAGCACCTATACAGGCCGGCACGGCACACGAGGGGGTTGGTGGCCAGCACCACGCCTGGCCGCCTTTGTCTCCCCAGTGGCGATGTTTACTATACTACTACACACCACTACACCAGGCACTCATTTGAGGCTGATTGGACGTAGGGGAGGCCCAGGACCGGTTCAGATAATCGTCACTGGTGTTGGCCGTGAGCGGGAATCGAACCCGGGACGCCAGGTTCATAGCGCAGCGTAGCGCTAACCGCTACGCTATCACACAGACACACACACAGACACACACACAGGTACACACAACAACCGCCATTCGCCACTAAGTGGCGATGACGTCACCACGACGCTTGTGCCAGGCCATGTGCACCTTGAGGCCACGTGAAGTGTCGAACGCCCGCTGGCAGGAGGTCACGGGGCAGACCCAGGTGCCACGGGTCGACTGACCGAGATGACCGAGATAAAGGACGCTACTGGGCAGTTGGAGGCGGAGGAGCGACGCTCACAACAACGAGCGGAGCGCCGGGTGGCTAAAGCACAGCAAGTTGGTACAGTAGGGGGCACAGGTGGTGCATCAGCCAGTCATCTCAGTCATCTCAGGTACACACAGACACACACACACAGACACACACACAGCTACACACAGACACACACACAGGTACACACACACAGACACACAGACACATACAAACACACACAGACACACACAGACATAGACACACACAGACACAAGGATACAGATTCCCCCGTGGAACCTTGGCAGACCGTTTGTTCACAATTCTGTCAAATCGCCCGATGGAGCTGGTTGCAATCGCCAGCGAAAATTCACAGTGCTCAAGCTGCAAACGTCGTTGTGGGTTCACTCTCCAGCACACAGAACCGGTGTGTGCGCTGGAGTGGTAACAAAAAAAAAATCCACACAGATACCCAAGACAATCAGCGGTGCTGGTGGGCACAATTATGGCTGTCCGCCTGAGGATGCTGCTGCTCGTTGCTGCTGCTGCTGTTGTAATCGCCAGCGAGCTGTATAATCTGTGAACGTCGTAGTGGGTCTATTCTCCAACACTCAACCGGTGTGTGTGTGTCTGCTCAACTTAAGGCCGTAGCCATTGAGTCAACATTTGGGGGGACCAAATCTTGCAGGGTGTCTGGCGGTCCCAACCCAGAAAAATATATATATATAAATAAATAAATTTTCTGCCTAAAATTGTACAAAAATTCACTAACACATGGGATGGACTTTTTATTTATTTTTTACAATAATGTCTAATAGTGTATTGTATTACATTGCTCTGTTTTTACCATTTCTTGTTGCATTGCATGTAATGGCAGAGATTAGGGATTCATAAAGTACAACCATAACCACAATCATATGAACAGAAATCTAAGCATTGATTTATGTGAAGACCAAGGTTTAGCAAATAGTTGTTTAAAGTTGCATAGTACAGCAATAACATATTTTATAGCAATATATTGACGGGGACATTTTGAGCATATTTGAATATTGGGGGGGGGGGAGGGGGGGATGTGTCCCCCCCCCCGGACTTCAGCAGTAAATGGTGGGGGGGGGGATAGAAACGAATAGAACCCAACTCTTTGGGTCTTTCGGTAAAGTCACGTGACTTTGAGTATGAATTCCTGCAGTCACGAAAGCATCAAGTCACGAATCGAACCAAGTTTGCCTTTCTGTACCCCCTCAACGCAGGACCGCCTGGGAGCAAGGGCGACACCGGAGTCCCGGGACACAAAGGGGATGTAGGTGAGGACCCCTTTTTAGCACTCGGAGGGGATGAGGGGGGGTGGTGGTGGTGTGAAAATCCTCCCCCGCAGCACGCACGCGCCACAAGGTGCGCATCCACCAATTAAGCGCGGTTGGCTACGTGCGGTGCGAAAGAAGTTCAACATACACACACTACGTACGTGCGTGTGTGGGCTTGAGCAAGAAGCCGTGGTGTCGCGACCCGAGTTCGATTCCCACTCACGGCACAACACCGGTGATGATCATTTGAATGGGTCCAGGGCCTCCCCTAGGTTGACTCAGCCTCAAATGAGTACATGGTGCAGTGTGTAAACATCGCCAAAGGGGAGACAAAGGCGGCCGGGCGTGGTGTTGGCCACCGACCCCCATGTGTGCCACGGTGCCGCTCCCCGCAGAGACCACCACCACCACCACAGTAATCAGAGGCACGCTTCTCAACATTGACTATGGATATTGAACTTCCATTGCACCGTACGTAGCCAACCGTGCTGATCTGTAGGCCTGTGTGTGTGTCTTTGTGGGTCTCTGTAGACCTCAGTGAGTGTCTCTCTGTATCTGGGTGTCTCTGGGTACCGGTGTATGTATGTATGTTGAACTTCTTTCGAGGGAGAACAAAAACTAAACACAACAAGACGTTGTAAAGAAATTAATTTCCAATTTAGTATAGTGGTGTAGTGTATAGTAGTGTAGTGTATAGTGTATTGTATAGTAGTGTAGTGGAAAGTCGTGTATAGTGCAGTGTATCATAGTGTATAGCATAGTATGTAGTGTACAGTGAATTTTGTATAGCGTAGTGTGTATTGTAGTGTATAGTGTAGTGTGTATTGTAGTGTATAGTGTAGCGTGTATTGTAGTGTATAGTGTAATATGTATTGTAGTGTATAGTGTAGTCCATGTTTTCTGAACTTCTTTCGCACTGTACGTAGCCAACTACGCTAATCGGAGGAGCAGCAGCAGCAGGGAATAGGACAACAAATTAACACAACAACAAGCAGTTTTAAAGAAATTAGCTTGCAATCGGCGTCCTTGACGAATGCGATGCGTTTGCATTTCTTCCACTCTCTATCTCTCTCCCTGCCTCCTGAAGGTAATCCGGGCAAATTTGGACCGCGTGGTGAAACGGGGCCCCTCGGACCTCCCGGAGTTCCGGGCCTCCAGTCCGAGCCTCGTGCGACCCGGCCTTCGGCCTTCGCCGCGAAGATCTCCTCCTCGCGACCTCCGTTCGGCACGCCCATTAAGTTCGACGTCCCCATTTCCAACGAGCAAGGGCACTACGACCCCGGCACGGGAAAGTTCACGTGCGCTCACGCGGGCCTCTACTACTTCGTGGCGCACCTGCACATCCACGCCACCCACTTGGCCGTGGTGCTCGTGAAGAACGGCGTTACCGTCGTCAAGTTCGCGAACCACTACCTCGACAGCTACTACTCCATCGGCTTGAGTGGCGGCTCCGTTCTGAGCCTCGGCGCTGGCGACCAGGTCTGGCTCGAGGTGACCCAACCCTACAATGGCCTTTTCCATCAGCCCGAACATCGAGACTCCACTTTCATGGGGTTTCTTTTGTTCGCGGAATAGCGACGCCGTTGTTCGGGTGCCACATTTAAGGCAGGGGTGGGGAACGTGCGGTCCGCGGGCCGTACAAGGCCCGCAAATTATTTGGGTCTGGCCCTGCCAAGGCAACCGCAGGCGGGACTCGAAATTCAATAAATCTAGGAGCAAACCTGGAAAAGCAGTTGCGAGTAGCAACATCATAAATACCAGCTAACATCACACGCCTCACCGAAGAGAAGCAGTTCCAGCCATCACATTAGGGGCGGGTTAATTAAATGTTTGACCAAATATAACGGGCTAATTTTTAAGTTGATAATTTTGTATGGCCCGCGAATGATGTTATAAATATCCAAATGGCCCTTGGCAGAAAAAAGGTTCCCCACCCCTGCAGTTCAGGGGAACCAACCATCGACACAGTGACGGCACGGAACCGTTCGGCTGGCCGTCGAACGAAGACGGTCAGCATCGCGCGCTGATTTTCTGATGCGCTGCTTCTGCGGCCACTGCGAGCTGCCCACTTTCTAGATCGAGAAACTCGTTTCTTTCAGAACTGCTTGATGTTCTGCTTGGTCTGTTGTCCTTCCCACCTGCCAGCTCCGATTTGCGCGGCATACGGTTCGAAAGAAGTTAAACATATATACACAGAGACTCACAGACACACCCACAGATTAGTACGGTTGCCTATGTATGGTGCGAAAGAAGTTCAACATACAGTGAGGGAAAAAAGTATTTGATCCCCGGCTGATTTTGTATAAAAGACACCTGGGAGCCAGAAATCTTTTTGATTGAGAGGGGATCAAATACTTATTTCCCTCATTAAAATGCAAATCAATGTATAACATTTTTGACATGCGTTTTTCTGGATGTTTTTGTTGTTATTCTGTCTCTCATTGTTCAAATACACCTACCATTAAAATTATAGACTGATCATTTCTTTGTCAGTGAGCAAACGTACAAAATCAGCAGGGGATCAAATACATTTTCCCTCACTGTACGTATGGTGCGAAAGGAGCTCAACATATATACACAGAGACTCACAGACACACCCACAGATGAGTACGGTTGCCTATGTATGGTGTTCAACACCCACAAAGGTAAACTCGTTGTGTTGGTGGTGGTGCTGTGTTGGCTGTTGTGCAGATTCAACAACAACTCAACACGCTCCGTGTCAACAACACTGCCATGAATAAGGGCCATTGCCCGAAACGTCACCGATTATATATATTTTTCCCTCTATTAAAGCCACAGTCTGTGTTCGCCGCCAAGGTCGTGACGGCTTTCATAATGCCCCGGGACCGGAAAATTAAGACTGATTGATTGAGGCACAGTGGTTATTGACGAATGATTGACACAGTGGTGTTTTGACGGATGATTGATTGAGGCACAGTGGTTATTGACGAATGCTTGATTGAGGCACGTTGGTTATTGACGAATGATTGATTGATACAGTGGTTTTTGACGAATGATTGATACAGTGGTTTTTGACGAATGATTGATTGAGGCACAGTGGTTATTGACGAATGATTGATTGAGGCACGTTGGTTATTGACGAATGATTGATTGATACAGTGGTTTTTGACGAATGATTGATACAGTGGTTTTTGACGAATGATTGATTGAGGCACAGTGGTTATTGACGAATGATTGATTGATGCACGTTGGTTATTGACGAATGATTGATTGATACAGTGGTTTTTGACGAATGATTGATTGAGGTACAGTGGTTATTGACGAATGATTGATTGAGGCACGTTGGTTATTGACGAATGATTGATTGAGGCACAGTGGTTATTGACGAATGATTGATTGATGCACAGTGGTTATTGACGAATGATTGATTGAGGCACAGTGGTTATTGACGAATGATTGACACAGTAGGAATTGACGAATGTTGTCAGCGGTTTTTTATTTTAATCTTCGTAATCGCCAGCACGAACACTTTTTTGCGTGTGTGTTGCGACAAAACGTTAACAAAAATATACTCTTAGGTTTTTTCGTTAAAGTCACGTAGGTAAAAATAATAATAATAGAAATAAAATAATACATGAAAATAAATCAATTAAATCACGACGTTTCGGAGGCAACACAAGTCTATTTTTTTACCTACGTGACTTTACCGAAAAAAACCTAAGAGTATGAATCCTTGCAGTCACGAAAGCTTCAAATCGAGAACAAAAAAATAGACAACAAAAAAAATCCGCGTGTCTTCCGTCTCTCCGCGTGAACAAAACAACAACAAAAAGCATTGCCCCACACAAAACCCCGCAAGCCTCCGCAACCATCCGGTCAGTGCGCAATGTCGGCACGCGTCGACTCACGACCAAGGAACCAACTCCGGTTAGCGGCTTCGACGCTCACGCGTCTCTCGCGAGGCTCGATCTCGAATCGATGCTGGTGAACTGGCCGTTCTTACGGGGCAATGAACCCCCTTCCCTCCCTCCCTCCCTGCCAACTCACCTTATCTTATTCACGTAGTGCCTCGTATCCAAGGCGCTTTGCAAGAGTTATAAATGGTGATTTGAAGCTTTCGTGACTGCAGGAATCGTTACTCTTTGGTTCTTTCGGTAAAGTCACGTAGGTAGAAAATAAAATAAATCACGACGTTTCGATCGCAACACAAGCGGTCGTCCTCAGGCGGAAAAAATATAATCCAGCAGTCAGTGGCGGCTCCTGCAAAATCTCTCAGGGGGGGCAAATGTCTGGATGATTGATAAGGATAAGGTCCACCCATGCAATTAATAAATTAACAGCTCAAGCATGTAAAGGCAACTTCACTTCTTTAATATTAATGAAAAATAAAGTGACTCTTACAATACATCTTGTTTGTTTATATACTCACTATTAAAACAAACCACTCAAGTTTATTTTATTAAAGATTCCACTAGGTAGCGATAAATTATATTGTTGGATGAAACGTGCTTACGTATGATGACGTTAGCACGTATGATGACGTAAGCACGTTAGGGCTTGCCCTCCCGGTAGCCATAGAGAATGCATTGGAGCGCCCCGTTCGAAAAAAAACATCTTTCAATGTAAGTCTATGGGGCCACTCGGGGCGATTCTCAGCCGGAGTGAAATCGCCCCAAAAGAGGCGGTACTCCACAGAACGTGACATGACGCTGATTGGACTATATCCAGAGGCTGACAGTGACGGCTAGCGTGACTCTGTGGTTGAATGACATTGGTGGTGCGTCGCCCAATCGCCCTAATGAAGAAACCGCCCCTGCCAGCAGTGAAACTGCGTCGTGATTTATTTTATTTGACTTTACCAAAAAAAACAAAGAGTATGTTTATAAATGGTGTAAATCAGTTCGCTAAAAGTGATGTAGTGGCATGTGAGAGCTGGAGGGGAAACTAGGGGAGGGGTATTAGGGATGGGGGTATGGAGAGGAAGATTGAAGTGGGAACGGGAATTGCGGTGGGTACCTAGGGGATGGAGGGGAAGGATGGGGCCAGGGAGAAGAGGTGTGGGGGTCTTGAGGGGAGAGAGGGTCGCCTCTCGCTTCACGTGGAGGGGAAGTTCGTTGCAGTTGCAGCGGTGGCAAAGTCGGGAAACGTAGCGGAAGCGGTGGGTTGCGCACAAGGAGAGTGGACGGGGTGGGAACGGCGAGGAGTCGGAGAAGGTCGAGAGCGCAGCGAGTGGGAGGGGACAGAAGCAGACGAATCTGCGGGTGGGTCCAAGCTCGTGCGATGACAACTTAGATGGCCAGACGTATTCGTTGCGCCGCGGGACCATCACCTACTATGATGAGCCAAGAATACTCTTTGGTTCTTTCGGTAAAGTCACACAGGTATAAAATAAAATGTGATTTATTTGATTTTATACCTGTGTGACTTTACCGAAAGACCCAAAGAGTATGGATTCCTGCAGTCACGAAAGCTTCAAATCAAGATTGAGCCAAGAATATCTGTGTGTGTAACGCGCGTGACGTCCCTCCACATTTCTTTATTGAAAGTGAATCTAATTAATAATTCTACGCAGCAACAAAGTGGATTTGGTGTCTTTATTTATTTCGTCAGCACTTTAGACAAAAGGTTAGTCTAATTTATGCTTCTACATTATGGTAAAATAGCAATTTCTCGGTTATTTTCCAGATATTGTATCGAATTCAAATTTATGTCAACCCCAGCGACCGAAAGCAGAAGAGAATAAAGTATCAGAGCAGTGAATTTGAACAAATTGAAGGTTATATACAGTGCTACAGTGACATGAAGTGAGGTTTTTTTTATCACGTAGTTTCGTGCAAGAATCACTGCCATTAATATAGCGCTACAGTGAACTGCAGTGAAGTGTTTGATGACATACTTTCGTGCATGCTTCACTGCCATTAAATTGACACAAGATACAATTATACCCTGGACAATTATTTCGCAAATATTACTAGGACGGGCAAACTAGCTAGTGATCAAATATTCATCAACTAAAACAAATCGATTTCGAGTTTATTGTTATCAGGTGTGTTAGGCCCCACTGAGCTGCCGTGTAGGAGCTCTTTTTTCAGAGGCGACCCTGACTATCGCCAATGATAGCTGCCCAATGAGGTGGCTTATCGTCATCATCATCGTGTGGAAATGTATAGCAGCAGCCAAACACTCTGAACGCACGGTGACGTTGATTCTAAATGTGGAGAAGAACCCCGGAGGACCCGGAGAAAAATTCACGCCACCACCACGGAGAGAGAGACGCAGACTCCAAATGTACAACAGCAGGCATCGTCAGGGTCGGGAATGGAACCCACAACCTCCTGTATACCAGGCGAGGTAGTTAACATCTCCTAGCCACCGTGATGATGATGAGAGAGACATACAAACTCCAAATATACAGCAGCAGGCATCGTCAGGGTCGGGAATGGAACCCACAACGTCCTGTGTACCAGGCGAGGTAGTTAACATCTCCTAGCCACCGTGATGATGATGAGAGAGAGAGAGACATATACTCCAAATATACAGCAGCAGGCATCATCAGGGTCGTGATCGAACCCACGACCTCCTGTGTACCAGTCGAGGTAGTTAACATCTCCTAGCCACCGTGATGATGATGATGAGAGAGAGACGCAGACTACAAATATTCAGCAGCAGGCATCGTCAGGGTCGGGGATCGAACCCACGACGCCCTGTATACCAGGCGAGGTAGTTAACGTTTCCCAGCCACTGTGATGCACGCGTGCCCCCCGTTTCGCAAGTCAACGAATGCGAGTTAGGGGTCGACGCCGATGTTTCTGCTTCCAAGCGCGGAGAGCGACGCGCAGGGTGGCGACGAGGAGCAGGCCAAAGATGGCGCCGATCGCCGAACTTGCCATCGCCTCCACCGTCAGCCTGTTGGGGGCTGGGAGAAGACGCACGTGGACATCGTCACTACAGACCCCACGTCATAGCTACACGCGGAACGTCATCGGTTCTATTGTCGGCCTATTTGAGGGCTGAGAGAACACGCAGGAACATCGTGGCTACACGCAAAAAGTGCTGTGTGTGGTGAATGCAGACATGATTCCTTACAAAAGGTTTCTGTTTGGTGCTTTAACATCTAAACACCTGTTGTATTGCCAGAAAGCGTAAAACCTTTTCTCATATGCTCTTTGGTTCTTTTGGTAAAGTCACGTAGAAAGGAAATAAATTAAATAATAGAATACGACGTTTCGATTGCAACACAAGCAACCGTCATCAGGTAGAACTAAATTTGATAGAGAGACAAAACACAGGCACGGAGACGCACAAACAGACACACAAGCAGAGAGAGACAACACAGAGACACACATAGAGAGGGACACACAACATAGACATATGCTCTGATAATATATGGCCTTGTTTTTGAAACTGATTGGCCTACACCAGAGACAGCAACCTTCTTTAGGGCCTAGTCTCACCAGCAGTGTCAGACCAGAGAACAACGCCAAAATGCGACCAGTACAAAGACAATGCCACTATCAGAGCATTTATAGCTCGGGCTCGAGCAGCTACAAAATGGGAACTTTTTGCCACTCTTTGGTTCTTTCGTTAAAGTCACGCAAGAAAGAAAACAAACAAAACAACAGAGCACGACGTTTCGATTGCAACACAAGCAACCGTCATCAGGCAGAACCAAACCAGAGAGAGAGACAAAACACAGACACGGAGACACACAGACAGACACACAAGCAGAGAGAGACTCACATAGAGAAAGACACACAACATAGACACACAGAGACCCAATGCCTCTGTTTCGAGGCCCCGAAATGTCGTGCTGTTGTTTGGTTTGTTTTCTTTCTGCGTGACTTTACCGAAAGAACCAAAGAGTAATTCCTGCAGTCACGAAAGCTTCAAATCAACTTTTTGCCAGTATCAAAGTATTTTCAAAAAATAAGAACAAGTTTTAATTTGTACTTTCCACCGAGTGAGTTTGTGTTGCAGGAACACATCTCGTGACCGTTGCCAAACCCCTCGCCAAACCTCCTACGCATTTCACAAGTAGTACTAATCGCATATCTCCATTTCCCATGAATATGCTAAATTCCTTTTGATATGCAAACTATTTTGTAAAAGCGCTCTTCGCCCTCCATCCCAGCATAAATAGTCGCTCCAAGCCTGGGGCGTGCCATTCAGACTCTGTCTACTTGACAGACCTGTTCTCCACCTGAAGACGGCTGCTTGCGTTGTGGCCGAAAGATCGTGAGAATGATTTTATTATGTTTTATTTTTATTATTTTATTATTTTCCTTCTACGTGACTTTACCGAAAGAACCAAGAAGATCTCCCGTATAGCCTGAACAGGCTGTTGGGGCAAGTGCGTTAGCCAGCACCTATGAAGGCTGGAACGGCACACGAGGGGGTGGGTGGCCAGCACCACGCCTGGCCCCCTTTGTATCCCCAGTGGCGAAAATTTCACGCACCAGATACTCATTTGAGGCTGAGTCGACCTAGGGGAGGCCCTGGACCGGTTCAGATAATCATCACTGATGTTGGCCGTGAGCGGGAATCGAAGCCGGGTTGACAGGTTCGTAGCGTTGCATGCTAATCGCTACACGACCACTCCCCATACAACATGCATACGACATATGAAATATATAAAACATCATAAATTATACATAAAACATACATGCAACATACGACATACATACAACATGCATACGGCATACATACAACATACATACGACATACATATACCATACAACATGCGTGCTACGTACGACACATACAACATACATACGACATATGAAATATATAAAACATCATAAATTATACATAAAACATACATGCAACATACGACATACATACAACATGCATACGACATACATACAACATACATACGACATACATATACCATACAACATGCGTGCTACATACGACACATACAACATACATACGACATGCAAACAACATGCATACAGCTAACATACGTACGTACATGCAACTACGGGCGGCTCACCTGGAGCGAGTTTCACTTCCCAAAGGCAGACGGCGTCGTTGGTGGCAGAGCACGAGGTGAGCTCAGCTCCGGGACACCTGCGCGTCACACGCACGTCACACTCGCGTCACAGACGAACCCCCCCACGAGGGCCAATCAGACTCACGGGGACAGTGCTGTTAGCGGGGGTACCGTTTTTACACGCTTTATATTAACTCACTCTGTCTGTTGTTGTTGTTGTCGTTGTTGTATCCTCAAATCTTGTAACTCAATTTTTACCCACTTCCCAATTTGGTATCGACTGAAAACTTGGTATACTTATGTCATACTGATGACAATACTATATTCTATCATTAAAAATTTAAAATGTATATTTTTAAACATTATGTTTTACATGTTATGTTTCGGCTTGGGTCTAATCGTCGATGCTCAACTGACGTTGGCTGTAAATCACCACGGTCCCTTACGTTATGGCAAGCTTCCGGGCCACTTCCTGAAGTCGTGGAGTTATTCCATTACTAGTAGAGTACATTTCATTAAAGCGTGTTTTAAAAAAAAGTTTTAAAAAATATTACTTGTTTTTATTGCAGTTTACTATATTTATTCACGGAGCTGTCTATGATTAGACTGACCTAGTCTCCTCTCTAAAAATGCCCTATTCCAAAAGAGTTTCAAAAGATAAGCAGTGTTAAGCCTAAGTGGTGCTCAGCTTGAGCCCAATTCATAATCACGTTGAGCCGAATTGGTACTCAGGTTGAGACTAATTAGTTCTCAGATTTCACGACCAATATTCATAATAAAGGTTTATGTTGTTGTTCCGCTCCTGCTTGTCAGCATATGAATTGAAGTAATACACCTTGCAATTGCATGCCTTGTAAAGGCATCACATACTAGTTAACTGTGATGGACAATCCATTGTTTTATCATTACAATAAACCAAACCCGGCTGCTCTCCGCACCTGATTGGCTCACAGTGATGACTTCACCCTGTGGAAAAATGGCTGACGATGAAGCTGGTCGTTCTCATTACCGGCGAAACGTCACGGCTACTCAAATGGGCAAATGCCGTGGATTGAACTCTCCAACACACAACCGGTTAGTGCTGGACTCGTAACTAATTAGCCACGTCTTGTTTACGCGACGAACCCCTTACTGGTTGGCTGTGTCAGGTGGTGGCGCGTTAACGGCACACATTTATTCCCGTGCGAACAACACGACAAGTATTCTAAACAAAGACATTATCACGATTAAGGATGTTGTTACCCTAAACCAGGGGTGGGGAATGTCCGGCCTGCGGGCCGTATAAGGCCCGTGAAATCATTTGGTCTGGCCCTGCCAAGGCAACCGCAGGCGGGACTCGAAATTCAATAATTCTAGGAGCAAACCTGGAAAAGCAGTTGCGAGTAGCAACATCATCAATACCAGCTAACATCACGCGCCTCACCAAAGAGAAGCAGTTCCAGCCATCGCATTAGGGGTGAGTTAATTAAAAGTTTGACCAAATATAACACATTTTTAAGTTGATAATTTTGTATGGCCCGCGAATGATGTTATAAATATTCAAATGGCCCTTAGCAGAAAAAAGGTTCCCCACCCCTGCCCTAAACCAAGGCGGTCGGCAAACCTGCGGCTCTGGAGCCAGCACGCAGAATGAGAATATTGTATTCTTAGGTTTTTTTCGGTAAAGTCACGTAGGTAAAAAATTAAAATTCATAAAAGTAAAATAAAAATCACGACGTTTTGGAGGCAACACAAGCTTCCGTCTTCAGGTGGAACATCTGTATCTTACTTACTTGATACAGCAATCGTACTGTTCCACCTGAAGACGGAAGCTTGTGTTGCCTCCGAAACGTTGTGATTTTTATTTTATTTTACTTTTATTAATTTAAATTTTTTACCTACGTGACTTTACCGAAAAAACCTAAGAATATGAATCCTTGCAGTCACGAAAGCTTCAAATCGAGATTATTGTATTTATACTGCAGAAGGAATCCGATGAGCTATGAAGCTCTTTTTTTGTCTCAGATGTCCAGTTTGGGGCACGGGGTCAGAACGTTCCAGCAACAAGAACACACGATACACGCAAACACGGTAGGAGTGTAAAGTGTGGCTCTTTAAGATGACTGCTGCTTCATGAATATGAGAGAGGTGCCACCGCCTCTCTCATATTCGCCATGATGCATTGCGAGGCTCTTCAGAAAAAAAAGTTTGTGTTTTTTTATTGAATAAAAAACTAAAGATGTCTCATTGTTGTTTAGGTTGCCAAGCCTCGCCCCTAAGGGTATGAACACAGTGGCACTCCTGAAATATAAAAAAAACATTGACACTCAATCAAAGCCCTTTCCCTTGATCAGCAATTTGTGTGAATATTGACGAGCAACGTGTTTAACAGGTTCCAAACAGGTTTATACGGCATACTAACAAAACAATAATAATACATAATAAAGGTCGCGAAAGCCTACGTGTAAAACCAATAATAATACAATAACTTGCTTTTATAAAATGTCTTTTTTTTACGTGTCGAGTTCGCACCAAACACTTTCTATGGAATTTGTTTTCATCACTTTTAACCCAACAAAAAGAAGCCTTTACAGTATTGTGGATAATATTGGTCGCGAAAGCCGACTGCGTGTTAAACTACATTACTTTTGTTTGTCCGTACGTTTCGTGAACCCAGCTTGTAAGCCTTCTCTAATTATTGCTTTTGGTTTTGCCATAGATATCAATTTAAACATTTTTTTAAAGTTGTTAATAGGTAAAGAAAGCCCCACTGAGCTATGTAGCTCCTTTTTCAGAAGCGACCTGGTTATCACAAATGATAGCTCTACAAAGTGGCTAATATCATCATCATGCGGAAATTTATAGCAGTAGTCAAATACTCTAAACGTGTGATGTTGATTCTGAATGTGGAGGGGGGAAAAAACCGGAGGACCCGGAGAAAAATCCACGCGACCACCACGGGGAGAGAGAGACGCAAACTCCAAATATACAACACACGTCGGGGTCGAACCCACGACCTCCTGTATACCAGACGAGCTAGTAAACATCTCCTAGCCACCGCGTCGCCCTAACATACAGAGGACTGCAGAGTTTGGGCAATTGGTCTGCTCATCTGTGGTTCCTCCTCTTAGTGCGTCCGAGTCCTCCCTCTCTCTACGCCGTGTTGCAAGTTGAATTAGTGATTGCTAACCCTTTCCCCTTCCGATGACGCATACGTTGACATACGCGGACGCACGTGCACGGACCGAAGCCACGACCTCATGCATCGCAGGCGAGGGAGACATCATCTCGCCGCAACGCATCGCTTTCACTCGCCGAAAATGGCAAAAAGAATCCAAAGCGATTCGTCATCCACGGCAGTCACGTGGCCCACCTGGTGCAGGGTCGGCACTGCCCACCCGAGCCATCGCTATGGAAACCGGGGGGGCACGGCATGCAGGCCACGTCCGTCACGAGGTCACCTGGGAGGGGTCACGGGAGAGACATTCAGAGCTTTAAGGAGAGAAGACGCAATCAATTAAAACTAAACTACTAATCAATGTTTTTGTTTGGCAGGTAAAGCCCCACTGAGCTGCTATGTTAACTCTTTTCAGAAACGACCTGGCTGATCACAAATTATAGCTCATCGAAGTGGGGGTTTATCATCATCGCCATCGTGTTTGAAATTTATGCTGGAGCGCCGATCGGCTAAAATGCAGCAAGTTGGCACAATGGGAGGTACAGGTGGTGCATCTGCCGGTCATCTCAGTCAGCCAACCCGTGGCACCTGCTGGGTCTGTGCCGTGACCTCCTGTCAGCGAGCCTTCGACACTTCACGTGGCCTCAAAGTGCACCTGGCCTGGCACAGGCGCCTTGGTGAATGGCGGTTGTATTGGCATTGATGGTATCTCGCTCGCCTGGTATGCAGGAGGTCGAGAGTTCGATCCCGACCCTGACGCCTGCTGTATATTTGGAGTTTGCGTGTCTCTCTCTCTCTGTGATCGAGTTTTTCCCTCCACATTTAGAAACATGCGTTTAGACTATTTATATTATGTTGGTGCTATAACAGTCCAAATGATGAGGCCACTTTGTTGAGCTTTCGTTTGTGGCCAGGATGCTTCTGAAAAATAAGTTAATACCTCAATGGGCTTTGCCTGGAAGGATTGGGGATAGTTTAGAGTTGTATCTGTATGTAGTTTGAGCGAATTGTTTGCCTTTATTGTACTTTGCACTGCTATCATGTTTGTGTGTTTTGTGTTTGTTGTTGTTTGTTGTTGTTGTAAGGCTGCGGCCATGTATCCTGCATGCCCAGCCACCGCATGCCTAAACAGCTTTTGTTCGGTCAAAAAGAAGGAGCTAAACGGGCGCGGCACGGGCTAGAGAAGAGATGGAGTGATGTGGTACAGGAGGATGTGAAGCTGAGTGGACTTGCCGATGACCGGTACCAGCAGTGTCAAGATCGGCCTCTGTGGAGGAAGCTCGTGAAGGACGCTACTGGGCAGTGGGAGGCAGTCGCCCTCCCAACAATAACGGAGTGCAGAGGAGCGACGCTCACAACAACGAGCGGAGCGCCAGGCGGCTAAAACACAGCGAGTTGGCACAGTAGGGGGCACAGGTGGTGCATCGGCCAATCGGCCACTCATTTCAGTCGACCCATGGCACCTGCTGGGTCTGCCCCGTGACCTCCTGCCAGTGGGCGTTCGACACTTCACGTGGCCTCAACGTGCACCTAGCCTGGCACAAGCATTGTGGTGACCTCACCGCCACTCAATGGCGAATTGTTGTTGTAACGGCTCTTCGGACTCCTCCTGCGGTGTGGAGACAACATTCTGATGGCTCCGATGAGTGCGACCTCGTAAATCTCACATTGGGCCAGGGACCCAAGGCCACGCGGGCAGTTCCGGCAGCAGCGGAACACGGAGCCGTAGTCGTGCTCACGAGAAGGGTGCGAGCCGGGAAGGCAGCCGCACACCTCGTCCCGTGTCGAGGTGCAGCGAGTCAGAGACACTTGTCCCAGTCCTGTGGGGAACATCTCAATCGTCATCAACGTTATCGCCAACATCATCATCATCATCACCACCATCATCATAATTGGTTTTTTACCCTTCTATCTGGCAGATAGAAGGGTAAAAAACCAATTATCATATTTTTACTGGCAAATGAGGTTCCCATAGTGTAGACACCATCATCATTATGAGGGCGACAAGCGCAATGGTAACACTCGTGCCTCACGGCCTTTCCTCTTTATGTACTCCCCCAACTCGTTCTTCAGGGAGTGTGTGAGTGTGTGTGTACATGTGTGGGTGTGTGAGTATGCGTGTGTGTGTGAATGTATGTGTCTACATGAGTATGTGTGTGCCTCAAGGTGCACATGGCCTGGCTACAAGCGTCGTGGTGACGTCACCGCCACTTAGTGGCGAATGGCGGTTGTTGTGCGTGTGTACATGAGTATGCGTGTACATGTGTGTGTGTGCATGAGTGTGTGTGTGTGTGCTTGTGTATGTGTGTACATTAGAGTGTATGTGCGTGCGATGAGAAAAGTACAGAAAGTGGCTATTATTCCCCACAAACTTTGCATTTGTGACCAGGACAGTGATATTTTGAAATATACCTACTTTCAATGAGAAAACGGGCGAATTTGTGTCTTTTCGTTCACAAAGTCAGAAAAAAACTACATATGAATCAAAATTAACATCCATCTATACTAAAGTAATACAAAGATGACGACTAAAGATTTAGAAATGAGTAGTTTGTCGAGATTATTCATCCCCACAGAGAACTCGGTCCGCTGTGGCCAGTCCCGCCTGTGGTCATGCGCCTTGGTGTCTAAATCTTTAGTCGTCGTCTTTGTATTACTTTAGTATAGATGCATGTTAATTTTGATGCATATGTTGTTGTTTTCTGACTTTATGTGAACGAAAAGACACAAATTCGGCCGTTTTCTCATTGAAAGTAGGTACATTTCAAAATATCACTGTCCTGGTCACAAAAGCAAAGTTTGTGGGGAATAATAGCCATTTTCTGTACTTTGACCATAAGCAATTAGGAAATAACACTTACTACCCAGGGACAGAAAATAATTGTTACATAGTGAAATCATTGCTAGGAAGGGGGCTGTGTGGGTGTCTGTGTGGGTGAGTGTCTGTGTGGGTGAGTGGCTGGTGGGTGGCTGGTGAGTGGCTGGTGTGGGTGAGTGGCTGGTTAGTGGCTGGTGAGTGTACCTGTGTTGCACTGCCCACAAGGTGTGCATCTCTGCTGCGTGTTCAGGTCCGCGGTGAAGGTGCCCTGAGGGCACGGATCGCAGCGGCTGGGCGCGTCTGCTGTGCACCTGGCGGAAAGGTAGTGCCCTGCGAGAGGTGCAACACACGAAACAACGCAGGTGGGAACACCCATTTCTGGCAATACAACACGAGTTGCGTTTACGATGTTCGAACGGCGAGATAGACGCACGACTTTTTGCGACCAAAATTATCCACAATAGAGGTGTCTTGGGTTAAATCACGCGATTATAGTGTGCTGATCTTTAAAGGTGCATTAAAAAATGTTGATACTCCTACTGATACTCCTGCTGTTATGGAGTAACTCATGCTGCCAGCTATGGCTGCAAAGTTTGGTCGTACATGTTATGTATATCGTTTACTGTTAAATTTGAATCACAGTTCCTATGATCACTGTTACGTTGTTATTATAGCTTTATTGTGGTGATTTCGAAAACTTTTGATTTAGCCATATTTGTTTGTTGTAGTACAGAGTTAGACTGATAACTTTAATCTAAATTGTCTTATGGTTGTTATTGTTTGACTTCCATCCCACTGGGATTTCTGCACACAGCGTTGATATGCGGTGCTTTTTCTGGAAGACTTTGCTGTTTTTTCCTGGATTTTTCTGTTGCGCTTAGTTACTTTAAGATGTTTCTTGTTCATGTTTTTGTTTTTTGTTTGTTGCGGTTGTACCCGATTCAAGAGCCGAAAGGCTCACAGGGCTACACCTAATAAATGAACTGAACTGAATGATCTGAACTGATCTAACCCAAGACACGCGATCACGCGATCTAACCTAAAAAAAACCTCTCTTATATGGAACAAGTATTGTCCCTGTGCTGTTCGCCTTGCGGCGTTGTTCTCTGGTCTACTGACACTGGTGGTGAGACATGGCCATGACGAAAGGCTGTTTCTGGTGTGGGCCAATCAGTTTCAAAGAGAATGCCATGTAACATTCTAGTTACATTATTACTAAAGACGATGCCATACATTGTTATTATGATTATCAGAGTGTGTTTGTATGCTCGTCACAAATACGAAGTGTGTGGTTAATGCAGTAAATTGATTCCTTGCAAAATAAAAGGTCAAATCTATTGGGCGTTAGAACGTACCAAGCCAAACTCCTGGTTTTTGATTGACAGGAAGGCGTACAAACCGAATCTTATTTTTTCATACTTTGATAACTGGCACACGAACAAAGCATCCCATGACATGAAACACCCCATGAAACCTCTTTTGCCAGCACCAACATGAGAATAAGTTGTCCCCTTTTTTCTGGCAACAAAACAGCTGCGTTAAGATGTTAAAACACCAAACTGAAACCTTTTTACAAGGAACCATGTCTGCATTAGCCACAATACTTGTGGTCAGAATGCAAAAAAAAACTTACTCTGATAGTAGATGATGCATTGTCTTTGAAACTGATTAGTCCACACCAGAGACAGCTTTCTTTTGAGCCTAGTCTCAAATGGTGTTAGACCAGAGGACAGCCTTTTGGCGCCCTCTGGTCTAACACCGTTACGCGAGTGTCTGCACGCAACACGGTGACCTCTTACTCCACAGTGGATGCTCTCTATCCTCTTCAATGGTGGCGTAGTTTGTTGTTTTTCTTTACGTTAAATAACAGCAGCAGGTCCCCCACACACACACACGCTTGGGTCAGCGCTGCGCTATGAACCTGGCGACCCAGGTTCAATTCCCGCTCACGGCCACCAACACTGGCGACGATTATCTGAACCGGTCCCGGGCCTCCCCTAGGTCGACTCGAGCCTCAAACGAGTGCCTGAGTGCGGTGTGCAAAAACTTCGCCACTGGGGGAGACAAAGGCGGCTGGGCGAGTACCCTCACAGGTACTCGCTAACAGCACTTGCCCCAACCATTATATTAAGGCTACTTGGGGGGGGGCGGTGGGGGTGGGCATCTTTGGCCTTGTGTTCGAGAGACAGAGCCTCTGTCACCCACCTGGGGTGCACTTGCTACAGCAGGCGCCGCCGTCTCGCCGGTATTGCCAAGTGCGGTTGCAAGCAGCCGCCGCCGACGCCGCCACGACGCCGCCTCCACCTCCGCCACCACCGTGCGCCACGGCCAGCAGCAGGTGAGCCACGCACGTGGCCCGCAGCGCGCCCTGCGACGCCGAGGCGGACATATTTGCTTTAGCACGTGGTGACGCTTTAACACGTGGTGTCGCTTTAACACGTGGTGACGCCGAACACGTGATTCCATTGTTATTTTATATGGACACAGGCACTCCTCCTCTGCATACGAACATTCGACCTTCGAACTTTCAGAGATACGAGGAAACCCGGTCCCGGTACGTCCAGGTTGCCCTTTTGGACCGAGAGTCGTAAGTTCAACCGCTCCCGCACAATAGATGGCGGCAGTGGTGGCATCTACATCCGCAGAACGTGAAGAACCAGTGGCATCTACATCTGCAGAACGTAAAGAACCAGTGGCATCTACATCTGCAGAACGTGAAGAACCAGTGGCATCTCCATCTGCAGAACGCGAAGAACCAGTGGCATCTACATCTGCAGAACGTGAAGAACCAGTGGCATCTACATCTGCAGAATGTGAAGAACCAGTGGCATCAACATCTGCAGAACGTGAAGAACCAGTGGCTTATATATCTGCGGAACGTAAAGAGCCAGTGACATCTACAGGAGATTACGTAACTTCTAAGGCCATTCTCCGTGTTTAGTGTACACGCCGTACAACATATTTGGAATCGACAGGCGTAAAGTTGAACTTACGCACACAAACCGACTTACGAGCAGACCTCTGGCACCGACCTCGTTCGTAAGTAGAGAAATCCCTGTATATTAATATATTAACACCCTCCTCCTCTCCCTCCCTCTGGTCTTCGCACCTGATTGGCTCACAAGTGATGACGTCACATTCATCCCCCACCTACCTCTATTTCAAACCATAACACGAGCAGGAGGATTTCTCCACAACTTCGTGGCTGTCTGCCTGATCATGCTGCTGGTGGTGGTTGTTGTTGTTGTAATTACCGGCAAAACGTCACCTGGTTACTCGAATTGTAAATGTTGTGCTGTGGTCTTTACTCTCCAGCACACAACCAGTGCCCTGTTCTACTACACTACACTATAGACTACACTATAATTGTAAATGTGTAGCTGTGGGTTTGTCTCCAACACACAACCAGTGCGCTGTACTACTACACTACACTATAGACTATGTACTAGTACACTACACTATAGACTACACTATAATTGTAAATGTGTAGCTGTGGGTTTAACTCTCCAACACACAACCAGTGCCCTGTACTAGTACACTACACTATAGACTACACTATAATTGTAAATGTGTAGCTGTGTGTTTAACTCTCCAACACAGAACAACCGGTTAGTGCTGAACTCAGTAACGAATTGGCCACGTTTTATTTACGTGACAACCCCTTTAACTGATTGGGCTGTGGTCGGGTGGTGGCGGGTTTAACAACACAACATTTATCCTCTTTGGTTCTTTCGGTAAAGTCACGTAGGTAGAAAAATAAAATCGTAATTATTTTTTCTTTTATTTTTCTACCTACGTGACTTTACCTAAAGAACCAAAGAGTATGGATTCCTGCAGTCATGAAAGCTTCAAATCAAGATACAACATTTATACTTTCGCGATCGAACCCAAAAACCTCTCTTATTATTGATAATATCGGACCCGAAAGCCTCCTCCTACTACGCGTCAAACAGTGTACCAGGATGCATATAAACACGCAGATCTTGTACACAAGTCATCGCCTACGTCGACAATGTCTTATTTATTTTCTGAATGAATTGAAGACGTGAAAGAACAACAGCTGTAAGTACTGAACCACCGTAATCATTAAGCAACCATGATTATATATCCATAAGAGGTTTTCTTTGGGTTAGATCTCGTAATAAATATATAAATGTGTCGCTGAACCCTCCACCACCCGACACAGCCAATTAGTTTGTCACTTAAACAGAACGTGCCAATTCGTTACTAGTACAGCACAAACCGGGTGTGTGTTGGAGAGCAAATCCACAACATTTACAATCTGAGTAATGAATACAATCACAATCAGTACGTTACTAGTACAGCACTAACCGGTTGTGTGTTGCAGAGCAAATCCACAACATTTACAATCTGAGTAATGAATACAATCACAATCAGTACGTTACTAGTACAGCACTAACCGGTTGTGTGTTGCAGAGCAAATCCACAACATTTATAATCTGAGTACTGAGTACAATCACAATCAGTACGTTACTAGTACAGCACTAACCGGTTGTGTGTTGTAGAGCAAATCCACAACATTTACAATCTGAGTACTGAGTACAATCACAATCAGTACGTTACTAGTACAGCACTAACCGGTTGTGTGTTGGACAGAAAAGCCACAACAACATTGACAATCTGAGCACTGTGACATTTGGCCAGTGATTACAACCGGCACCATCAGGCGGCAGCCAGATTTGTGTGGAGAAAACCTCCTCGTGTTGCGTCGTCAAAGAAATTCGTGGAAGGCGAAATTAATTCCAACTATTATTAACAATGTGTGGCCTTAAAAAAAACGTATAGAACAGGCGACGTTTCAGCCAACGACCCATCTTCACAACACACGGAGAGGCCAAAGAGGTCGTCTCTAAGTGCTCCGCCAAAAACGATAGCCAGCGTGAATGATTACGTGCGTTGAACTTATTTCGCACCGTACGTAACCAACCGTGCTAATCTGTGGATCTCTGTGGGTGTCTCTATGGGTCTGGGTGTCTGTGGGTCTCTGTGTTCATATGGGTGACTCTATGGATCTGGGTGTCTGTGAGTTTCTGTGTGTCTCTATGGGTGTCTCTATGAGTCTGGGTGTCTGTGGGTCTCTGTGTGTCCCTATCGGTGTCTCTATGGGTCTGGGTGTCTGTGGGTCTCTGTGTGTTCCTATGGGTGACTCTATGGGTCTGGGTGTCTGTGGGTCTCTGTGTGTCCCTATGAGTGTCTTTATGGGTATGGGTGTCTGTGGGTCTCTGTGTGTCTCTATGGTTCTGGGTGTCTGTGGGTCTCTGTGTGTATGTACGTACGTTTAACTTCTTTCGCACCGTACGTAGCCAACCGTGCTATCATTTGGCCGCGTTAAATGTTACTTCGCCCGCGTTAAACAACAAAAAAACAACAACTCGTTTGTCCCCGAACTCCGAGCGACATTCAAACTTACCGCGATGGACATGGCCACAGGACGCAGCCCCCCCCCCTCCCCGCAGGTCGCTTCACGGCTCGAAAAATGGGGCCCGAGTCCGAACCGTCGGTCGAACGAGGAGGCACATCAACAGACCCCGGGAAACTGTGCGTGTGTGTGTGAAACTGTGTTTGTGTGTGTGTGAAACTGCGTGTGTGAAACTGTGTGTGTGTGAATCTGTGTGTGTCAAACTGCGTGTGAAACTGTGTGTGTGTGAAACTGTGTGTGTGTGTGAAACTGTGTGTGTGAAACTGCGCGTGTGAATCTGTGTGTGTAAAACTGCGTGTGAAACTGTGTGTGTGTGTGTGAAACTGTGTGTGTGTGTGTGAAACTGTGTGTGAATGTGTGAAACTGTGCGTGTGTGTGTGTGTGAAACTGCGCGTGTGAAACTGTGTCTGTGCGTGTGAAACTAAAACATCGAGAGAGACAGAGAGAGAGAGAGACAACTAATGATAATTGTTGGCGAATAACTCCTAAAGCGCTCCTCGTTTCAAAGATGAGAACTGAGAGAGGCGGAGGGTCTTGAGTGGCTCTTGCTTTTAAAGCGCGTCTCTCTCTCTGCGCGCAGGTGTGCTGCGTTGGTGTGCTGTGTGGTGTGTTGTGTGGGGTCGTTGGTGGTGGTGTGGCTCCCTTCGGGGACTGGACGACACGAGGCAGCGCAGGGGTGGAGAGGGGGGTGGCGCTTGAAGAATGCCGACTACTCGAAGCCCCTGGGGGGCAGGAGTTGTCGCTGTTACCTTGACTTAGAAACACGTGGGGGCAGTTGGGAGGGAATGCGTTTGTGGGAGGTGGATAGGCAGGTGGTGGTGGGGTGGGTGGGTGGTGGTGTGTGCACTCGAGTGTCAACATAACCTATAGTCGCGTGGGGAGGAAGTACATGGAAATGGGTGTGACTTTGTTTAGCTCGGTGTTGTGTAGAACAAATAAATGATGATGATGCTAGATTTGAAGCTTTCGTGACTGCAAGGATTCATATTCTTAGGTTTTTTTCGGTAAAGTCACGTAGGTAAAAAATTTAAATTAATAAAATAAAAAAATAAAAAATCGTGATTTTATTTCATTTTTATTTTACTTTTATTAATTTACATTTTTTACCTACATGACTTTACCGAAAAAACCTAAGAATATGATGATGATGCTCGATAGCCGATTTGTCAAGGCCGGTTTAACTGCTTCGTCGGATTGTGTGCGTGCGTGTGCGTGCATGTGTGTGCGTGCGTGTGTGTGCGTGCGTCTGCGCGTGTGTGCGTGTGTGTGCGTGCGTGTGTGTGCGTGCGTGTGCGTGCGTGCGTGTGCATGTGTGTGTGTGCGTGTGTGTGCGTGCGTGCGTCTGCGCGTGTGTGCGTCTGCGCGTGTGTGCGTGTGCGTGCGTGTGCGTGCGCGTGCGTCTGCGCGTGTGTGCGTGTGCGTGCGTGTGTGCGTGTGTATGTGTGTGCGTGTGTTATGGAGGGGATCTTTGTCTTTGGCTTATGTGTTAGGGGAGCGGTGGTGTAGTGGTTAGCGCTACGCTGCGCTCCGAACCTGGCGTCCGGAGTTCGATTCTCGCTCATGGCCACCAACACCAGCGACGATTATCTGAACCGGTCCTGGGCCTCCCATAGGTCGACTCAGCCTCAAATGAGTACCTGGTGCGGTGTGTAAACATGGCCACTGGGGAGACAAAGGCGGTCAGGCGTGGTGCTGGCCACCCACCCCCTCGTGTGCCGTTCCGGCCTTCATAGGTGCTCGCTAACAGCATTGCCCCTAAAGTCTGTTAAGGCTACATGGGGGGAGGGGGGATCTTTGTCTTTGTGTGTTGAACTTCTTTGACACCGTACGTAGCCACCCGCGCTAATCGGATGGTGCTTCGGGGGTGGGGGCTGGGGGGATGACAACAAACTCAAAACAAACTCAACACAAACTCCACACAAACTCGACACAAACTGAACACAAACTAAACACAAACTGAACACAAACTAAACACAAACTGAACACAAACTCGGCACAAACTCAACACAAACTCAACACAAATTTAACACAAACTCGACACGAACTAACACAAACTCAACACAAATTCAACACAAACTCGACACGAACTCATCACAAACCCAACACAAACTCAACACAAACTCATCACAAACCCAACACAAACTCAACACAAACTCATCACAAACCCAACACAAACTCAACACAAACTTAACACAAACTCAACACAAACTCAACAGGAAAGTTAAAATCGATACATTGTCATGCCGAGACATGCACCAACTATCTTGAGCCACTGAGTTACAGGCAACCCCACACGGCACACAGGCACAGGAGTGATAGTTGAGTTTGTTTTGGCTCACATCACCGCGTGATTAAAATGCCAAACGTCAACCACGGCAGATAGCCACGGTGGCTAGGAGATGTTGATTACCTCGCCTGGTGTGGAGGAGGTCGTGGGTTCGATCCCGACCCTGACGATGCCTGCTGCTGTAGATTTGCAGTCTGCGTCTCTCTCTCTCATCATCATCACGGTGGCTCGGAGATGTTAACTACCTCGCCTGGTGTACAGGAGGTCGTGGGTTCGATCCCGACCCTGACGATGCCTGCTGCTGTAGATTTGCAGTCTGCGTCTCTCTCTCTCATCATCATCACAGTGGCTCGGAGATGTTAACTACCTCGCCTGGTGTGCAGGAGGTCGTGGGTTCGATCCCGACCCCTGACGATGCCTGCTGCTGTAGATTTGCAGTCTGCGTCTCTCTCTCATCATCATCACGGTGGCTATGAGATGTTAACTACCTCGCCTGGTGTGCAGGAGGTCGTGGGTTTGATCCCGACCCTGACGATGCCTGCTGCTGTAGATTTGGAGTTTGCGTCTCTCTCTCTCTCATCATCATCATCATCACGGTGGCTAGGAGATGTTAACTACCTCGCCTGGTACGCAGGAGGTCGTGGGTTCGATCCCGACCCTGACGATGCCTGCTGCTGTACATTTGGAGTTTGCGTTTTTTTCTCCCCATGGTCGCGTGGATTTTTCTCCTGGTCCTGCTATTTTTCCCCCTCCACATTTAGAATAAACGTCGTCACGCGCGTAGATGGTTATTTTGCTGCTTTTTTGAATTTCCACATGATGATGATGATGAACCAATTATTGCAACATACACACACGTAAAAATAATAACGATGTTCATACCATTTGTGTCGGACATGAATTAATGTTCTACTTGTGATATTTAATTTTTAAAAAATGAAGCAAGGTAGAATACCCCTGATTAAACCACACCCTCCACCTCAACATTTTAAACCGGTTTTAATTTTTTAAATAAATTTAACTAAACTGATTTATTTTATTTTACCAAGTTACTCCCAACTAAGCTGCTATGTAGCAGCTCTGTTTCAGCAGCGACCCTGGATATCACAAATGATAGCAGCTTCACCAAGTGGGATCATCGTCATCATCATCAGGGAAATTCATAGCAGTCGACAAATAACTCTAAACGTGTGTTTCTACAGACTCAGAGAGACCCGTAGAGACCCATAGAGACCCACAGAGACCCATAGAGATCCATAGAACCCCACAGATATCCATATAGACCCATATAATCCCATAGAAACCCACAGACACCCATAGAGACCCACAGAGACCCATAAAGATCCATAGAACCCCACAGAGATCCATAAAGACCCATAGAATCCCGTAAAAACCCACAGACACCAATAGAAACCCACAGATACCCATAGAAACCCACAGATACCCATAGAGACCCACAGAGACCCATAGAAACCCATATAATCCCATAAAAACCCACATAAACCCATAGAGACCCACAGTTACCCATAGAGACCCATAGAGACCCATAGAATCACATAGAAACCCACAGAGACCCATAGAGACCCACAGTTACCCATAGAGACCCATAGAGACCCATAGAATCCCATAGAAATCCACAGAGACCCATATAGATACACAGTTACCCATAGAGACCCATAGAGACTCATAGAATCACATAGAAACCCACAGAGACCCATAGAGTCCCACAGTTACCCATAAAGACCCATATAATCCCATAGAAACCCACAGAGACCCATAGAGACCCACAGTTACCCATAGAGATCCACAGAGACCCTTACTAATACTAAACTATTTTATTTGACCAGGTAAGGCCCCGCTGAGCTGCTGTGTAGTAGCTCTGTTTCAGAAGCGACCCTGGTAGCAACTCGACGAATTGGCTCATCATCACCATCTCGTGGAAATGTATAGCAGCAGCCAAATCACTTTAAACGCGTGGTCACGTCGATTCTAAATGTGGGAGGAAAGAAAGACCCGGAGGAACCCGAGCAAAATCCACGCGACCACGGGGAGAGAGAGAGACACTAAAAACTCCAAATATACAGCAGGTCTTCAGTTCAGTTAATTTGTTTTTCAGTTCAGTTCAATTATTAGGTATAGCCCTGTGAGCCATTCGGCTCTTGACTCGGGTGCAACCGCAACAAACAAAAACATGAACAAGAAACATCTTAAAGTGACTACGCGCAACAGAAAAATCCAGGAAAAAACAACTAAGTATTGCAGAAAAAGCACCGTAAATCAATTCTGTGCGCAAAAATCCCAGTGGGATGCAAGTCAAAAAATAACAACCATAAGTCAGGGTCGGGATCGAACCCACGATCTACTGTATACCAGGCGAGGTAGTTAACATATCATAGCCACCGTGATGATGATGATGAGAGAGAGACGCAAACTCCAAATATACAGCAGCAGGCATCGTCAGGGTCGGGCTCGAACCTACGACCTCCTGCACACCAGGCGAGGTAGTTAACATCTCATAGCCACCGTGATGATGATGAGAGAGAGACGCAAACTCCAAATATACAGCAGCAGGCATCGTCAGGGACAGGATCGAACCCACGATCTACCGTATACCAGGCGAGGTAGTTAACATCTCATAGCCACCGTAATGATGATGAGAGAGAGAGAGACGCAAACTCCAAATCTACAGCAGCAAGCATCGTCGGGGACGGGATCGAACCCACGACCTCCTGCACACCAGGCGGGGTAGTTAACATCTCCCTAGCCACCGTGGCTGCTCTACACGCCGTGAGATATTTCTATTGTAGCGGCGACCTTTCCACGACAACAAAGCAATTGATCACACGAAGGTCGACGCGGGGAAGCACGTCATCATCAGCGTGCCTCTCGGCGGGGGTCGAATGTCAATGTACTCGAATAAGGTTAAATTAATACATTTGTATCCAATGAAGTTGAACCAATAAATTTGTATCGAATAAGCTTGAACCAATACATTTGTATCGAACAAGGTTAAACCAATACATTTGTATCGAATAAGGTTAAACCAATACATTTGTATCGAATAAGGTTGAACCAATACATTTGTATCAAAAAAGGGTGAACCAATACATTTGTATCGAATAAGCTTGAACCAATACATTTGTATCGAATAAGGTTGAACCAATACATTTGTATCAAAAAAGGGTGAACCAATACATTTGTATCGAACAAGGTTAAACCAATACATTTGTATCGAATAAGGTTAAACCAATACATTTGTATCGAGTAAGGTTGAACCAATACACATTTGTATCGAATAAGGTTGAACCAATAAATTTGTATCGAATAAAGTTGAACCAATAAATTTGTATCGAATAAGGTTGAACCGATACATTAATCACG